CTTGTAATATTTTCTTAGCGCAAAAGCCCGTCCACCTACTCTCTGATGTAACAGTTTATCCACTCTGTCACTCTCATGCTAAAGACTGATTTGATCACTTTTCTACCTTAATCAAGAACTCCTTTTGGCTTCTCACTGTCTTCTAGTTACAGTGTAACTTGATGTGTCATTCCATATCTGTGCCTGGCTATTTCGCCATCTTTCTCTCTTAATAAAACCTTTCTGCTGTAGTCAGATGGGGCTTCATTCTGTCTTCTCTAGAAAGTTGCAGGCTGGACAATGGCCACCCCACAAGCCCCGCCCACAGGCCTGCCTACTCCTGCCCAGAGGTGGCAACGTCTCGCCACCCCAATGCTGAGCAGAGCCTCTGAGGGGTGGATGTGAGGTGATCAATGATTTTTTGATGATTCCACTGGGGTCGGGGTAAAGATAAACTCCAACTCCCCTCTACTTTCTCTGAGAATAGAAACGTCCTGGTTCATCTTTTCTGCAGGCCAATAGGCAGTTCTCCACGCTCCCCATCTCTGAGACAGAGCCTCCTTTTGACCGCTGGGCAGACAGAAGGGGTCAGAGCACTGGTCGGCCTAACCCGCAGGATTTGCCCCTGCGGACGTTTGGAAGAAGTGGTCGGTAATGCAGAAGGAGGATTTCTTATCTGGTGGTATTTTTTTTGGTGGCTCTCAAATGGAAAAAGAAGCAGCGATGAGTCATGGATATTTATAAAATTGTGTTTCCAAATTTATCTTGCTTTCAGGATAACCACACAATTCAATAAATAAAGCCCAGGAAAGTTTGTCCAAAAGGAATACAAATAAGTAGGATGTTTAGTAAAGGTAAGAAGTAAATGCCATTTCTCGGGTCACAACTTGGTGATTTTACACACACACACACACACACACACACACACACACATTTTTGTAGCAAAACCCATTACTTTTCCTCATGCTGCTCTTGACTTCCTGGGTGTTTTGTACTGTCTCCGTGTAAGGACACCTGTAATAAATGAGTAAAAGAGAGAAACTGCAACAAATGATCATTCCCGCAGCTGCTGTATCAAGTTGCTTGTCGGAAAGTTGCTCTCGCCCTGGCCGGTTTGGCTCAGTGGTTAGAGCGTCAGTCTGTGGACCAAAGAGTCGTGGGTTCGATCTGGTCAAGGGCACCTATCTCGGCTGTGGTTCGGTCCCCAGTCCTGGTTGGGGCCATGAGAAAGGGAACTAATCTATGGGTCCCTCTAACTTGATGTTTCTCTCTCTCTCTCTCCCTCCTTCTCACTCTTTCTGAAGATAAATAAAAAAACGGTGAAGATTTGAGAAAAAAGGCTGCTCCGTCAGGCACCTAGATGGAGCCAGGCTGCTCGTTAGCCCCCAGGTCGCTCCCAGGTGGGTCCGGTGCTATCCTTAGGGACTATGGAGGATGATGGTGGGACTGAGCACTAAGCCAATCACAGTAAAAAACATTAGAAAATATTGCTGTAATCTCAGAGTCTCTTGAGGGCTTCAGAAAGAGTGGCTGGCTCAGTATTTCACCCTCGAAAACCACGGTCGCGCAGGGACACGTCCAATCAAGCCACCCCCCCCCACCCCCCGCACTCCCCGGTTCTTTCTCCGGAGGCCTGCTCCGCCTTCCCATCTGTGATCTCTGCTCTCCTCTTTTCTGCAGAAACGCCTTGTGGCGGGTCAGCCAGCCGAGCGTCCCTGACTTACCAGCAAACACGGGCTCTCACTGCGGGGAAGGGCACAGTGCTGAGCTGCAAAACAGCGATTCAGGGCCCTGCAAGGCGGTGCCAGCCCATTAGGCGGCCGGAGAACATCCCAGCCTCTCAAGCCCCAAGTAAACACGACTGGAAAAATGATTCCTTGTGCTAACAAGAGCGAGCCAGGCCGGGGAGCGAGGCTGAGCAGAATCGTCATTCCCTCAACAGCACTTGAGCGTGTGGCTCGTTTTGCAAGTCTCTTCCCCGGAGAACCTCAAGAAGTCTCTGTCACTTGGGGATATGCCTTGATCCCTGGAGATGACCTGCAGAGGCTGACGAAGGACCGACTGGGGAGAAGGGCAGCGGGGAGGGCCGGTGGCAGCTCTCCAGAGTGAACAGTGGTTGTTGGGATTAATAGACATAGTTGTGGGGGACAGCCAAGCCCGGCTGTGGTTTACTTGGGCTGATGCGAGGGCAAGCAGGCTTGGATGGGACCCTGCGGTGACTAAGAGGTGGCGGGGCTGCAGAGGTGGGATCAGAGTGGAGGGGCTGCCTCCCCGTCAGCCTCCCGAGGCTGGGCACGTGGCCGCCTGGGGTTGGATAATCAGCTGGCTCTCTACACCTATCACCCAGTTTGTGTTAATATCTGTGATTCTAATGACACACTTGTGAATGTCATTGATATCTATGGTTGGTTAACATTTACTTAACAAGGACTGCATGTTTCTAAACGCTTTCTGTACAGTGATGCATTTAAGCCTCACAAGAGCACCTTGACGTTGATAATTATTATCCTAATTTTACAGATGTTGAAATTGAGGTACAGAGAGGTCCTATGATTTTTTGCAAGTAACCAGGCTCCAAGAGGCGGAGCCGGGATGTGATTTAAAAAAGTGTCTTGAAAATTCTTATCCAGGGTGAATTTTTCTAAGATTAGGGTTTAGACAGAGGGTCAGCGGTGATGTATATTTCATTTGGCTGTTCTACTTAGTTCCCAGCAGTCAATGCTGAGGAAGACCCTTTGGTGTGTGCTGAGAGAGGTGGAGAGCATAATAGGGGTTTTCCAGAGGATCGGTCAAGGGCCTGGCTCCATGAATTCATACACCTGTTCAGTGTCCCGCAGTTCTCAGGTGGCTCAGCCCAAATTCCATGATCACTCTTTCTGAAACTCTCTTGTATAATATTGTAGCTACTGGCTACATATGACTGCTTAAATTTAATTCCACTTAAAAATGAAAATTTAATTTCTCAGACAGAAAAACCACATTTCAAGTGCTCATGGCGACCACATTGGTCAGCCTAGACACAGACATTCTGCTCGTTGCAGAAAGTTCTGGACAGAGCTATTTCGAAAGTCACTTGACTTAAAATAATCTGCCAAAAGAGGTCAACAAAACCCGTATCTCTTGCCTTCTTTTCTTGCTCCGTTTCATGTTAGGCTTGGGGATAACTTCTGGCTCCATTAAGAATTTAATGCAAGCCATTACCCAGAAAATGCACCTGTGCAATTACACACAGAAATCTGCATAAAACTTTGGAGGGATCATCAACCCTCTGAGTAATAGTTGCCCATCAGAGGCTAGCAAATTACCTTCAGACTCAGTGGCTTAAAACAACCAATATTTATTATCTCGTACAGTTTTGTGGTCCAGAAATTCAGGAGGACTTTAGCTTAGCGATTCTGGCTCAGGAGTCTCATTAGACTGCAGTAGGGTTGTCAAATTTAACAAATAAAATACAAAATGCTAAGTTAAATTTGAATTTTAGATAAATAATAAACAATTCTTTAACTATGTCCCATGAGATGATCAGGACACACTTTTACTTAAAAAAATATGTTGTTTACCTAAAATTCAGATTTGATTGGACATTCTGTATTTTATTTCATAACCCTATCGATGTGTCAAAGGCTTCAATCATCTGAAGACCTTCCCTAGGGCCCATGGATTTGTTTCCAAGAGGGAGCATTCAAATGTCCAGGAGGTCGACCCTGGCTGTTTGCAGGAGGCGCCCTTTGTGGCTCTGGAACCCTCTGGGCTGCTTGAGGTCCCTCATGACATGGCAGCTGGCTTCCCCCAAAGTGAGTGACTCAAGAGCGTGTGACATCATTTATGACCTTGCCTTGGAAGTCACACTTTGTCATTTCTGAAGTATTTTATTGACTGTGCAGTCCATTTCTATTTTTCTACTCTATATGGGAGGAGACCATGTGAACTGCAGGAGGCACGGATCACCGGAGGCCACCTTAGAGGCTGGCTCCAGCCCGGAGCATTTACACACCGATTTCATAGAATACGCTCCATGAGGAGAGTTTTCAAATATGTTTTCCTCATAGTTGTAGCCCCTGTGGCTGTCACAGAGCCTCACAAATTGTAGGCACTCAATGTATATTTGCTAAATGCTTGAATAAATGAACTCTGGCCTAAAATCTCTGACCTGAAAGATTCCTTTGGTCCTTAGAAAGGCTTATAGGAACAAAAGATAAGCTTCCGCAGAGAGTCTGAGGATAAAGAGATTCGAATATCAGGAACAGGAATTTGTAAAGGGATACATCGATTTAATAATGTTGCTAATAAGTAATCATGGTGGCGGCATTGTGAAATGAGTGCAGCTCTGTGTTAGAAACTTCTTTTTATATACACGCTGTCATGTATGTAACCTCTCAGGTGCCGTGGAAAAGATGAAAGCGTTATGAGTCAGATGCTATAAAGAAGCTTAACACACGCACAAACATGTGTGCACACACACGCACGCACACACACATGCATTCACATACACACACATGTGTGCACGCACACAGACACATTTCAAAGTGGGAAATGTTCTAGGATAACAGTGGAGAAGAGACCATGAAGGTCAGCAGAAGGTCATAAAGGGTCTTTTGTAGAAAAGTACCTGGCGTCGTCCTGACACACACATACCCCGAGAAAGAACAGACAGGTTCCAGTTTATGGTAAGACTGCGTATTAGAAGGCGAGGAGCTGGGAGGTGGGTCAAAGCTGGCGGAGACGGGGACCTGCTGTGGGGAATGCAGCGGCCCCTGCGCCACGGCAGCAGCGTTGTTTCACGTGGTCGTTTGCGGGCATCTGCTGGGATCTGAGCTCCCCCAGTCGGCTCGCGTGAATTTGTGGGATTGACTTTTCACCCGTGGAAGCCACCGGGGAGGCCCTGGCGGGTGGCAGGACACCAGCACTTCAAGGTCCCACCCCAGGCACCATGTCTTTCCTTCGGTGCGGCACGTTCGGGAGTCGGGAGGGCGAAGACGGCAGCCAGTCATGCGAACAGCCTACAGTTCATTTCCTGGGGTTTACAGGAGGGCGCCGATCTCTCTGCACCGTCTCAGGAGGGTCTGCACGGCGGCCTCGGCTGCCCTCTGGACGCTGACGCAGGGGTCTTGCCGAAGTGCTTGGAGCCCTGAAACGGAGACAACAGCGAAGTCCGCAGGTGAGGCTCCCCCGGAGGGTCGGCCTGGGGGGCACAGGCGCCCATGCTCCACTCTGCAGGGTGGGATGGGAGCCCGAGCGGAGAGGCTGCTTGAACACTGAAACACAGTAAGAGAAGCTCCTGACCTCGTGATCAACAGACAAGTAGAAGACTGTGGTCTGTTGGGTCTGATGCCTGCAGAGGGGTGGAACTGGGGCTCGCTTACACCCTGGAGATAATCCAGTGTCTAGGAGCATTGGAGACAATAACGGGGCACCACGATTTCTGTCCCTGGGCTAACATGGCACTGGGAGCGGCATTAGTCGCTCTTCCTCTAAGAATGCAGCCATATGCCAGGCAGGAACGGGTTGGCACTCACGTGTGGTCAGTTGTTCTCTGTCTAATAACTCCACGTACTGGTTGGTCAGATTGAAGACGATGGCATCTAAAATCAACCGGGGAGAAAGGTACTGATTTCATTACAGAGGACGAGGCCACGCAAAGCGGCTCAGGTCAGACTCCACACCTGCTCAGAGATGAAACGGTCTGTCTAGCAAACGAACAAACTCTACAGCTCCCCCTGCTCCCCCAGATGATGCGAGGAGCACGTCTACTGGGTCTTGGGTGCCATGTCTGGAAGTGGTCACACACACCATGTGCATTTGAGAAAGCTCACAGCGTGTCCTCCCAGGGGTGTGCCTGTCGTTGTCAGGGTTTCAAACGTGTCTAAGATATAGTCCCTGTCTTCAAAAAGTTTACAATGTAATTGTGGAATTATACACAGGACCCAATAAAGCATCTCCACTCTTAAAAGTGGCCAAGCTAGTGGGCCTGTTCACACTGGGGGATCAGTTGGAACAGGCATTGTGATGAGACTCAGAATTTCATCACAGAAGGATCCTCAGAGATTCACTGACTTCCTCTTTCACTTTATAGATCAGACAAGGAGCAGCGCACAGGAGGGAGTTGTCTGGAGCCTCGCAGCAGAGCCAAGGTGCACCGGCCCCACCGACACACGGGCATCACGTTGCTGCCAGCTCTCAGCGCGACCTGGCTGAGGTCGGGTGTGGGTTATGTTAAGAGATGATGCCAAGGAAAATGTCTGAGGCAGGGGCAGCAGGTTTGGAGCAAAGACTTGGGATAAAGAAGGAGCAATGCTTGGAAGCCAAAGAAGCATGAAGTGCCCAGCATGGTGAGCGAGAGTTAGGAAGTCAGAAGACGCACATTTTCATTTGCAAAAGAGAACAGGTTCCTTTCAGGGGAGTTGTTGCAAGGCGTACATTTCCTTCCTTCCTTCCTTCCTTCCTTCCTTCCTTCCTTCCTTCCTTCCTTCCTTCCTTCCTTCCTCCCTCCCTCCCTCCCTCCCTTTCCCCTCCCTCCCTTCCTTTCCTCCCTCCCTCCCTCCCTCCCTCCCTCCCTCCCCTCCCTCCCCCTTCCCTCCCTCCCTCCCTCCCTCCCCTCCCTCCCCCTTCCTTCCCTCCCTCCCTTCCTCCCTCCCTCCCTCCCTCCCTCCCTCCCTCCCTCCCTCCCTCCCTTCCTTCCTTCCTTCCTTCCTTCCTTCCTTCCTTCCTTCCTTCCTTCCTTCCTTCCTTCCCCTCTCTCTCTTTCCTTCTTGTCATACCCTCCACACCAGGGTTTAGACTGGAGTAGCCTGCAGTCAAGGCAGAACGAGGTGGCAAAGGGCAGATACACCTGGGGGCACGTGGAGGGGCCCGCACCTGTGAGCTTGATGGCTGCGCTCCTGATCACCTCCCAGCTGCTGGCGAAGAAGGTGAACGAGTGTGTGTGGAGGATCCACAGGATCTCCTGGTTTTTCTTGGCCTAGAAGAGACGCGTAGTGCCAGGAGGGCGACCGGAAAGAGACCCTTCGTGAAATCAGCCTCCCAGACAGAGGTCCTAAGAAGGAGACCTGAAGGCCGGCGATACCCGCACAGCGTTCATCATTCCACCGGGCGCTGTCTTAGGGCCATTCCAACCTAGTTTGATCAGAAAGGTACGGGGCTAATGGGACTAGTCAACAGAGCCAGGACTTGGGAAATACGGCAGGATACCGAGATCGTGGCCATTTGCCAAGACAGTTCTGCATCTGGCCGGAGACCCCCACCACGCTGTCTGCCTTGCTGGGAGCTGCCCGGCTCCTGCCTTGTTTCCCAGCGCTGACGGCACACTCACCAGCTTCACACAGAACTGCCTGTAGAAATCCCTGGCCCGGGGTGGATCCTGACCGTCAAGGAGACGATCCAACACCCCGTAGAGGTCCTGGAGGCCCAGGAAAGGAATGGAGACCATCAGGACGTCAAGGCAAGCCTGAAAAACAGAGTTTTCCGCGTCCGGTCCATCGAGCCGGGTGGCCTCCCAGGGAGGAAATGTCACTAGCGCTGGGACAGGAGCAGCAGACGTCGGTGATGGGAAAGGCTTCAGTCGGCGTTGCCACCTTCCAGTGTCAAGGACGGAGGAGCAAACTCCAGAAGAGATGGCGAGAGAAGCCAGCACTGGAGGGGTGGTGTTCAGGTCCCGCCAGGGCGTGACCCCGGCTCTGCCGTGTGGCCCGGCCGCCGGAGGGGACCTGTCGCCCTTAGGGCCTCGGGGACGGGCAGGTGCGGGTGTCTGTGTAAGGGCCACTTACAGCTCCAACTTTGGGATTGGGGTCCCAGAGGTGGAGAAGGAATGAAATCATGCTCTTTTTAATTTCTTCTGCAAAAAAAATCTTCCACCTTCTTCCTGTTAGGGATGCCAGATTCTCAAATAAGACAATGGCAGTCAGTCTCACATCATCCTGCTCCTGTGGCGACAGATGCATGTCATGGTGAGTCCCCCGTCAGGCCATTTCCGGCCAGCACCCCCCCCCCCCGCCCTACTTCAGCGAAGGCGCCCAGGCCCGGGTGCAGTCGGTCCGAGCCCCGGGTGCTCCTTTCCCTGCAGCTCTCTACCCCACAGGACGAGTTCGAATGGCCTGGGGTCTGGGGCTTCAGTGACACTGTACAACGGAGGCTTGGCTCCCGCTTCTGAGTAGCTAGGGGAATGTGACCACAGGAATGAGAAGCAGGGGCCGAAAGCCAGCGAGGGTTCCTGCCTGTTTCGTATTTACACGAAGCGGCCTGGAGTTCTGGGGCTTCTCAGGCGAACTGCCCAAGGCCCAGGACCCTTCTTCGCGGTGCCAAGCACTTCCTGATGGAGTCACAGGCCGCTCGGAAATGTGGGCTTCGGGTCGCGGAGAGAGAGGATAAACAAAAAGGGCTCGGGCCTATCCGTGCGAATGTGAAATTCTGGAATTTCTTTGCTTGTTCTCCTGAATGGTAGACGATGATCTTAAAACCCAAAGGGGAAGGTGGCGGAGAAAGATGGCCTTCTGTGATCTCAGCTACTTCACGGCTATGGTTCAGAGTTCCAACAGACTCTGGAGGGTCGACCCCCCACCCCCCAGGTCTGGAAAATCCGTTTACAATACCCATGTCGGGGCAGAGGAGCGAGAGAGAACCTGACCTCGGCAGCAGCATATTCTTTGGATGGCAATAAACAAGGCCCAGCGTAAAGCATCCCCGTGAACACGAGGGAGAGAAGACCGAGGGCTTAATTTTAGTGGCAAATTAAATGTGTAAGTGGGCCCATAAACAAAATGCCATGAAAAGGGAAGTTAATAAAGATCTTCCAGAAAAAAATAAAGATGGTCTTCGTGGAAGGGCCGGCAAAGTTAAACGGATACATGCACTGTGACCTCGTGTCATGGAGTGTTCTTTTTTTTTTTTTTCCTCACCCGAGGACATTTTTCCATTTTTTGCACAGTTAGAGTGGGAGGGAGAGAGAGGAAGAGAGAGAGAGAGGGAAACATCGATGTGAAAGGGACACATTGAGTGGCTGCCACCCGCACGACCCAACTGGGGCTGGCGACAAACTGCAACCGAGGTACATGCCCTTAGCGGGAACCGAACCCGGGTCTCTCCAGGCCGCAGGCGGATGCTCTAACCGCTGAGCCAAACCGGCCAGGGCTAATGGAGTGTTCTTAGCTGTACTAGGAATGAGGTCAGGATATGTCATTAAAAGGTATTACTTTAAAAAAGAAAGCAGACTAATAAAAGAAAACAAAGTACTCAAAAGGTAGAGAGACATTTACTTAAAAAAAATCTTTTGAATTTTCCAAAACCGATGGCCTAATGAGAGGTTAGGGAAGAGTCACCTAACGGGGATGAGGAAAAGGCAGACAAGAGACCTGTACGACTGTTTTGGGTGCTGGGAGGGACATTCGCGTTTAAGGTCCTTGTTTTGAGTTGAGAAGGTGGAGTCACAGAGTAAGTTGATTGCTCAGGGTGACAGCGTGGGAAATAGTAGCAACCGGCCTGAAGCAGGGGCGGCAGCCATACTTTCTGTTCTACCATTTCATCCAAGCGTCGCCATGTTCTGAGAAGTCTAGGACAAATACTTAAATATTGATAGAGAAGGGTGGGGAGGGAAATTGGAGATTACAAAATTGTATGTTTAATCTATAGAAACTATAGAGGGGCAAAGTAACATAAAGTATAGTTAAATATATTTGCAGAAAGAGAGGATTACTGGAGAATAAATTGCATTTTACTGCTAGGACCCAAGTTTCATCAAATGTTTTTGCAAATGCGAGAGAATGGATACCTATTAGGAAGGCGACAAGGTCTAACCTAACAACCAGCAAGACTTGAGATTTTTTTTCTTCTGCATTAAGACAGAAAAGCATTACCTTGACCACAAACGTCATAGGTAACCTTGGGATTATTGGAGGCTCAGATCCAAGAGAATTATCATCACTGGGTCAACAACCACCCAGGGGATCCTGACCCACAGATGGGGCTCTGCAGGGGTGACTTCAGCCCTTTGCTGTTCAAGATCCTCATCAACTATGTGTGCAGTCAAGAAAAAGAACACATTCGTTATTTTACAGAAGATGGAGTGGGAGCCAAGTAAACATTTTTGAGAACAAGATGAGAAGAGAAGAGTGATATTGATACATTGGAGAAGGCAGACGGGAAATGAGCAGAAAGTTCCCTTCAAAGGTCAGGTTGAGGCCAGCATGTAAGTAAACAAGGGAGCTGGAAAATACAGAACTGGAGACCCATGGACGGTGGGCATAGACTGAGGGCTACAATCTAGAGCTTTGTGTGGTTAATAAGTTGCCAAGGGTCAGGAAGAAAGAGCACGGTTTTTAAAACACCAGAAATGAGTAAATAGGAACAGAAGGACTTGAGAGGCTTCTGTTCGATACTTCTCAGGCCTCGTTTAGAGATACAACACAGTCCCTGGCTTGTAAAATACTTAAGGAGCTGAAAAATTAGCTTTATGATGAATAATGAAGGGAATGCAGACGTTCCGGTCTGGAGACCGGAGGTAGACAGGTGATCTAATAACGCCTCCGTGTTTCAGGAGGAGGCAACAAGCCGTCTTCCACCTCATCTCCTCTGACAACACAACATGGACGGACTCGATCCCAAAGAGACCGATTTCAGTTAGACGTGAAGTAGATTTCTACACTGATGACAGTGAATACGCCCAAAATAAACAAAGTTGAGTTTCCCAGAAGTTACAAAGGAAACTGACCTTCCCCAGCCCAGGATCGCTGCCTGACAGTTTTTGAGATGAGGGCTATGGACTAGATCAGAGAGTTGACCAACTTCCCCCTCAACGGCCAGACAGTAAATCATCTGGGCTTTGGGGGACATCTGGTTTCTGTAACGACTGATCAGCTCTGCAAATGAAACGGGAAAGCCGCCACAGACATGCAACCAGGGAGCACGGCTGTTTCCGATAAAACTCAATGTACAAACAGGTGCTCTGGGCCCGGTTTGGCCCGTGAGCTGTGCACGGTGCACAGGGACTCCTGGATGAGATGAACCACGTGCATGTTGTGAGTCTGCATCTCAGATGTGGAGGAGAGAGTGTTGGAGACGACAACGTCTTTCCTGGGGCCGTAGTCCTGTACTGCGTAAGGTCATCACTTGCATTCCCCCCAAGCACACTCTGAGATGAGGATTTAGTCATAAGTAATTTATGTGGAAGGTGAGCCCAGGGGGCATGGTGGGGCGAGGGGACGAGGCAGGGAAGAGCCAAAACTACCTCAGGGATATTGAGTGTGTTATCCTTGTGAGAAGGTGGAGCTCGACCCCCAGGGGTGGGGAGGCTGGGGAGTTGACAAACTCCTGTTTCTTATCATTCGAGGGTCCTTCCCCAACGCCTGGCCCACCCTGCTCAGACCAGTTATGATTCCCGGACCAGAGAGGCCCCTCCGACGGAGAGACAGGAAGCCACAGCCTGCAGAGGTCTGTCAGGTGACCTCCGTGCAGGGGGCCTTGGGGCAGGCCAAGGACGGTGGGTGGGGCACCAGTGTCATCCACTACAGGCACCACCCGCACCCATGTGTTCGCTCACTTCTTGTGTGTGTGTGGAATTCCTGAACAGGCTCACTTACGTCTTCAAAGAAGGTTCTCGTCTGCAGCACGATCTCCTTGAAGTAGAAGCTGACGTCGCGGTCCGTGAGCAGCGCCAGGATGCCCCTGAGCGCCTTCAGGCTCTCACAGACGACCTCGGTGCGCGCCAGGTGGTACAGGCCTCTGATGACGGATTCCAGTATGATCTGCTTGTGCTTCCTCACCTGTTTGGAACGAGGTCTCTTAATCTCTGAAACGGCTGTGCGTGTACCTGGAGTAGCCCAGGAGACCCCGACAGGGGACTGGGACCCTGTTGGGCTCACGCGTACTTTAACCCGAGAGCTGCGACTTCGGCAACTTACGTGGATTTGTGCTTAACTTCTTGGCAACCACGAGGTGGGGGTTAGTAAATAAGTATTTCAAACTCTCCTTAAATAAAGTATCCCCCGGGCCCCCAACTCCTGTGACCTTGTGAGGGGCTCCGCAGGCGGTGTTGCCGAGGCCCCGGATGGCCATTTGCCGCAAGGTGGCGTTGCAGTCCCAGGCGCTCTGGTCCATGGAGATGAGCACGTCGCAGAGATTCCGGTGCTTCCAAATGACAGGCTCCTTCATGAGCTGAAAGCAACACACTGCTCCCCTTCAGTTAAGGGAGTGGGCCCCCTTCAGGACAGTGGCAGAGGCATGGCGACCCCAGTGAAGAGGGCCCAGCTCTCAGGGAACAGGGAGGAAGAGCCCTTGGGGAACGAGCAAGCCTTGCAGGAACTGAGCTCTGGATGTCAGCAGCCCCAGGTCACGGTACGTGTGATGCAACAGGCCACCTAGTTAAGGAGGTGCTTCTCATCAAGCTGAGCGGGAAGGGCAGGGAAACCGGAGTCGGTGATAATGCTCCGTCTCTGGGTCCGAGGGACTGCCCTTATCCCAGAGTGTGGGGCCAGCAGTGTGCCAGGTGGTTCTTTCGGGCTTTGTCCCTCTCATACGGGTCCTCCACCCTCCTCTGCCCTGGGAGGTGGACTTCTGCAGACCAGAGGAAGGGAAGAGGTTGAGGACGGGTTCCTTTCCTCACTCCCTGCTCAGGGACCACGTCTCCGGCAGTCTCTGGACCAGTCCACTGCCAGAGCTCCCTTGAGGGTCCCCGGGAGAAACCCGCGGGCTGCTGCCTTGCCTCGGAGAAGAAAGCGGTGCCGGTTATGCGGTAGTTCTCCGAGGAGGAGGTGAGCGAGGGCAGCAGCTGCTCCATGATGTTCGCGATGACGCCCTGCTGCCACACAGCCATGCTCCTAGAACAAACAGCAAGCCTCCTGTAGCACAGGCTGTCGCTTCTGAGCAGCGGGAGGCTGGTTTCTCTAGCAGGAACCCGAGTCCTTTGCAAAGGGTGCTCAGGGCAAGAAGTGCTACCGCACCCCCGACTCCAGTGTGGTTTGCCTAGAGCTGCTCAGTGCAGACTCCAGTGTGGTTTGCCGAGAGCTGCTCAGTGCAGACTCCAGTGTGGTTTGCCGAGAGCTGTCCAGAGCAGACTCCAGTGTGGTTTGCCGAGAGCTGCTCAGTGCAGACTCCAGTGTGGTTTGCCTAGAGCTGTCCAGGGCAGACTCCAGTGTGGTTTGCCTAGAGCTGCTCAGTGCAGACTCCAGTGTGGTTTGCCGAGAGCTGCTCAGTGCAGACTCCAGTGTGGTTTGCCGAGAGCTGTCCAGAGCAGACTCCAGTGTGGTTTGCCGAGAGCTGTCCAGAGCAGACTCCAGTGTGGTTTGCCGAGAGCTGTCCAGAGCAGACTCCAGTGTGGTTTGCCGAGAGCTGTCCAGGGCAGACTCCAGTGTGGTTTGCCTAGAGCTGCTCAGTGCAGACTCCAGTGTGGTTTGCCTAGAGCTGTCCAGAGCAGACTCCAGTGTGGTTTGCCTAGAGCTGCTCATTGCAGACTCCAGTGTGGTTTGCCTAGAGCTGTCCAGTGCAGACTCCAGTGTGGTTTGCCTAGAGCTGCTCATTGCAGACTCCAGTGTGGTTTGCCTAGAGCTGTCCAGAGCAGACTCCAGTGTGGTTTGCCTAGAGCTGCTCATTGCAGACTCCAGTGTGGTTTGCCTAGAGCTGTCCAGGGCAGACTCCAGTGTGGTTTGCCTAGAGCTGCTCATTGCAGACTCCAGTGTGGTTTGCCTAGAGCTGTCCAGAGCAGACTCCAGTGTGGTTTGCCTAGAGCTGCTCAGTGCAGACTCCAGTGTGGTTTGCCTAGAGCTGTCCAGGGCAGACTCCAGTGTGGTTTGCCTAGAGCTGCTCATTGCAGACTCCAGTGTGGTTTGCCTAGAGCTGCTCAGTGCAGACTCCAGTGTGGTTTGCCGAGAGCTGTCCAGGGCAGACTCCAGTGTGGTTTGCCTAGAGCTGCTCATTGCAGACTCCAGTGTGGTTTGCCTAGAGCTGCTCAGTGCAGACTCCAGTGTGGTTTGCCTAGAGCTGTCCAGGGCAGACTCCAGTGTGGTTTGCCTAGAGCTGTCCAGTGCAGACTCCAGTGTGGTTTGCCTAGAGCTGTCCAGGGCAGACTCCAGTGTGGTTTGCCTAGAGCTGTCCAGGGAAGACTCCAGTGTGGTTTGTCTAGAGCTACTCATTGCAGACTCCAGTGTGGTTTGCCTAGAGCTGTCCAGGGCAGACTCCAGTGTGGTTTGCCTAGAGCTGCTCAGTGCAGACTCCAGTGTGGTTTGCCTAGAGCTGTCCAGGGCAGACTCCAGTGTGGTTTGCCTAGAGCTGCTCAGTGCAGACTCCAGTGTGGTTTGCCTAGAGCTGCTCAGTGCAGACTCCAGTGTGGTTTGCCTAGAGCTGTCCAGGGCAGACTCCAGTGTGGTTTGCCTAGAGCTGCTCAGTGCAGACTCCAGTGTGGTTTGCCTAGAGCTGTCCAGGGAAGACTCCAGTGTGGTTTGTCTAGAGCTACTCATTGCAGACTCCAGTGTGGTTTGCCTAGAGCTGTCCAGGGCAGACTCCAGTGTGGTTTGCCTAGAGCTGTCCAGAGCAGACTCCAGTGTGGTTTGCCCAGAGCTGTCCAGGGCAGACTCCAGTGTGGTTTGCTAGAGCTGTCCAGAGCAGACTCCAGTGTGGTTTGCCTAGAGCTGTCCAGGGCAGACTCCAGTGTGGTTTGCCTAGAGCTGTCCAGGGCAGACTCCAGTGTGGTTTGCTAGAGCTGTCCAGGGCAGACTCCAGTGTGGTTTGCTAGAGCTGTCCAGAGCAGACTCCAGTGTGGTTTGCTAGAGCTGTCCAGAGCAGACTCCAGTGTGGTTTGCCTAGAGCTGCTCACTGCAGACTCCAGTGTGGTTTGCCCAGAGCTGTCCAGGGCAGACTCCAGTGTGGTTTGCTAGAGCTGTCCAGAGCAGACTCCAGTGTGGTTTGCCTAGAGCTGTCCAGGGCAGACTCCAGTGTGGTTTGCCCAGAGCTGTCCAGGGCAGACTCCAGTGTGGTTTGCTAGAGCTGTCCAGAGCAGACTCCAGTGTGGTTTGCCTAGAGCTGTCCAGGGCAGACTCCAGTGTGGTTTGCCTAGAGCTGTCCAGGGCAGACTCCAGTGTGGTTTGCCTAGAGCTGCTCAGTGCAGACTCCAGTGTGGTTTGCCTAGAGCTGTCCAGGGCAGACTCCAGTGTGGTTTGCCTAGAGCTGTCCAGTGCAGACTCCAGTGTGGTTTGTCTAGAGCTGCTCAGTGCAGACTCCAGTGTGGTTTGCCTAGAGCTGCTCAGTGCAGACTCCAGTGTGGTTTGCCTAGAGCTGCTCAGTGCAGACTCCAGTGTGGTTTGCCTAGAGCTGTCCAGGCCTGACTCCAGTGTGGTTTGCCTAGAGCTGCTCAGTGCAGACTCCAGTGTGGTTTGCCTAGAGCTGCTCAGTGCAGACTCCAGTGTGGTTTGCCTAGAGCTGTCCAGGGCAGACTCCAGTGTGGTTTGCCTAGAGCTGCTCAGTGCAGACTCCAGTGTGGTTTGCCTAGAGCTGTCCAGGGCAGACTCCAGTGTGGTTTGCCTAGAGCTGCTCAGTGCCGACTCCAGTGTGGTTTGCCTAGAGCTGCTCAGTGCAGACTCCAGTGTGGTTTGCCTAGAGCTGTCCAGGCCTGACTCCAGTATGGTTTGCCTAGAGCTGTCCAGGGAAGACTCCAGTGTGGTTTGTCTAGAGCTACTCATTGCAGACTCCAGTGTGGTTTGCCTAGAGCTGTCCAGGGCAGACTCCAGTGTGGTTTGCCTAGAGCTGTCCAGAGCAGACTCCAGTGTGGTTTGCCCAGAGCTGTCCAGGGCAGACTCCAGTGTGGTTTGCCTAGAGCTGTCCAGAGCAGACTCCAGTGTGGTTTGCCTAGAGCTGTCCAGGCCTGACTCCAGTGTGGTTTGCCTAGAGCTGTCCAGGGCAGACTCCAGTGTGGTTTGCCTAGAGCTGCTCAGTGCAGACTCCAGTGTGGTTTGCCTAGAGCTGTCCAGGCCTGACTCCAGTGTGGTTTGCCTAGAGCTGTCCAGGGAAGACTCCAGTGTGGTTTGTCTAGAGCTACTCAGTGCAGACTCCAGTGTGGTTTGCCCAGAGCTGCTCAGTGCAGACTCCAGTGTGGTTTGCCTAGAGCTGTCCAGAGCAGACTCCAGTGTGGTTTGCCTAGAGCTGTCCAGGGCAGACTCCAGTGTGGTTTGCATAGAGCTGTCCAGGGCAGACTCCAGTGTGGTTTGCCTAGAGCTGCTCAGTGCAGACTCCAGTGTGGTTTGCCCAGAGCTGTCCAGGGCAGACTCCAGTGTGGTTTGCCTAGAGCTGTCCAGGCCTGACTCCAGTGTGGTTTGCCTAGAGCTGTCCAGTGCAGACTCCAGTGTGGTTTGCCTAGAGCTGCTCAGTGCAGACTCCAGTGTGGTTTGCCTAGAGCTGTCCAGTGCAGACTCCAGTGTGGTTTGCCTAGAGCTGCTCAGTGCAGACTCCAGTGTGGTTTGCCTAGAGCTGTCCAGGGCAGACTCCAGTGTGGTTTGCCTAGAGCTGCTCAGTGCAGACTCCAGTGTGGTTTGCCTAGAGCTGTCCAGGGCAGACTCCAGTGTGGTTTGCCTAGAGCTGCTCAGTGCAGACTCCAGTGTGGTTTGCCTAGAGCTGTCCAGGCCTGACTCCAGTATGGTTTGCCTAGAGCTGTCCAGGGAAGACTCCAGTGTGGTTTGTCTAGAGCTACTCATTGCAGACTCCAGTGTGGTTTGCCCAGAGCTGTCCAGGGCAGACTCCAGTGTGGTTTGCCTAGAGCTGTCCAGAGCAGACTCCAGTGTGGTTTGCCCAGAGCTGTCCAGGGCAGACTCCAGTGTGGTTTGCCTAGAGCTGCTCAGTGCAGACTCCAGTGTGGTTTGCCTAGAGCTGTCCAGGGCAGACTCCAGTGTGGTTTGCCTAGAGCTGCTCAGTGCAGACTCCAGTGTGGTTTGCCTAGAGCTGTCCAGGGCAGACTCCAGTGTGGTTTGCCTAGAGCTGCTCAGTGCAGACTCCAGTGTGGTTTGCCTAGAGCTGTCCAGGGCAGACTCCAGTGTGGTTTGCCTAGAGCTGCTCAGTGCAGACTCCAGTGTGGTTTGCCTAGAGCTGTCCAGGCCTGACTCCAGTATGGTTTGCCTAGAGCTGTCCAGGGAAGACTCCAGTGTGGTTTGTCTAGAGCTACTCATTGCAGACTCCAGTGTGGTTTGCCCAGAGCTGTCCAGGGCAGACTCCAGTGTGGTTTGCCTAGAGCTGTCCAGAGCAGACTCCAGTGTGGTTTGCCCAGAGCTGTCCAGGGCAGACTCCAGTGTGGTTTGCCTAGAGCTGTCCAGAGCAGACTCCAGTGTGGTTTGCCTAGAGCTGTCCAGGCCTGACTCCAGGGTGGTTTGCCTAGAGCTGTCCAGGGCAGACTCCAGTGTGGTTTGCCTAGAGCTGCTCAGTGCAGACTCCAGTGTGGTTTGCCTAGAGCTGTCCAGGCCTGACTCCAGTGTGGTTTGCCTAGAGCTGTCCAGGGAAGACTCCAGTGTGGTTTGTCTAGAGCTACTCATTGCAGACTCCAGTGTGGTTTGCCCAGAGCTGCTCAGTGCAGACTCCAGTGTGGTTTGCCTAGAGCTGTCCAGAGCAGACTCCAGTGTGGTTTGCCTAGAGCTGTCCAGGGCAGACTCCAGTGTGGTTTGCATAGAGCTGTCCAGGGCAGACTCCAGTGTGGTTTGCCTAGAGCTGCTCAGTGCAGACTCCAGTGTGGTTTGCCTAGAGCTGCTCAGTGCAGACTCCAGTGTGGTTTGCCTAGAGCTGTCCAGGGCAGACTCCAGTGTGGTTTGCCTAGAGCTGCTCAGTGCAGACTCCAGTGTGGTTTGCCTAGAGCTGTCCAGGGAAGACTCCAGTGTGGTTTGTCTAGAGCTACTCATTGCAGACTCCAGTGTGGTTTGCCTAGAGCTGTCCAGGGCAGACTCCAGTGTGGTTTGCCTAGAGCTGTCCAGAGCAGACTCCAGTGTGGTTTGCCCAGAGCTGTCCAGGGCAGACTCCAGTGTGGTTTGCTAGAGCTGTCCAGAGCAGACTCCAGTGTGGTTTGCCTAGAGCTGTCCAGGGCAGACTCCAGTGTGGTTTGCCTAGAGCTGTCCAGGGCAGACTCCAGTGTGGTTTGCTAGAGCTGTCCAGGGCAGACTCCAGTGTGGTTTGCTAGAGCTGTCCAGAGCAGACTCCAGTGTGGTTTGCTAGAGCTGTCCAGAGCAGACTCCAGTGTGGTTTGCCTAGAGCTGCTCACTGCAGACTCCAGTGTGGTTTGCCCAGAGCTGTCCAGGGCAGACTCCAGTGTGGTTTGCTAGAGCTGTCCAGAGCAGACTCCAGTGTGGTTTGCCTAGAGCTGTCCAGGGCAGACTCCAGTGTGGTTTGCCCAGAGCTGTCCAGGGCAGACTCCAGTGTGGTTTGCTAGAGCTGTCCAGAGCAGACTCCAGTGTGGTTTGCCTAGAGCTGTCCAGGGCAGACTCCAGTGTGGTTTGCCTAGAGCTGTCCAGGGCAGACTCCAGTGTGGTTTGCCTAGAGCTGCTCAGTGCAGACTCCAGTGTGGTTTGCCTAGAGCTGTCCAGGGCAGACTCCAGTGTGGTTTGCCTAGAGCTGTCCAGTGCAGACTCCAGTGTGGTTTGCCTAGAGCTGCTCAGTGCAGACTCCAGTGTGGTTTGCCTAGAGCTGTCCAGTGCAGACTCCAGTGTGGTTTGCCTAGAGCTGCTCAGTGCAGACTCCAGTGTGGTTTGCCTAGAGCTGTCCAGGGCAGACTCCAGTGTGGTTTGCCTAGAGCTGCTCAGTGCAGACTCCAGTGTGGTTTGCCTAGAGCTGCTCAGTGCAGACTCCAGTGTGGTTTGCCTAGAGCTGTCCAGGGCAGACTCCAGTGTGGTTTGCCTAGAGCTGCTCAGTGCAGACTCCAGTGTGGTTTGCCTAGAGCTGTCCAGGGCAGACTCCAGTGTGGTTTGCCTAGAGCTGCTCAGTGCAGACTCCAGTGTGGTTTGCCTAGAGCTGCTCAGTGCAGACTCCAGTGTGGTTTGCCTAGAGCTGTCCAGGCCTGACTCCAGTATGGTTTGCCTAGAGCTGTCCAGGGCAGACTCCAGTGTGGTTTGTCTAGAGCTACTCATTGCAGACTCCAGTGTGGTTTGCCCAGAGCTGTCCAGGGCAGACTCCAGTGTGGTTTGCCTAGAGCTGTCCAGAGCAGACTCCAGTGTGGTTTGCCCAGAGCTGTCCAGGGCAGACTCCAGTGTGGTTTGCCTAGAGCTGCTCAGTGCAGACTCCAGTGTGGTTTGCCTAGAGCTGTCCAGGCCTGACTCCAGTGTGGTTTGCCTAGAGCTGTCCAGGGCAGACTCCAGTGTGGTTTGCCTAGAGCTGCTCAGTGCAGACTCCAGTGTGGTTTGCCTAGAGCTGTCCAGGCCTGACTCCAGTGTGGTTTGCCTAGAGCTGTCCAGGGAAGACTCCAGTGTGGTTTGTCTAGAGCTACTCATTGCAGACTCCAGTGTGGTTTGCCCAGAGCTGCTCAGTGCAGACTCCAGTGTGGTTTGCCTAGAGCTGTCCAGAGCAGACTCCAGTGTGGTTTGCCTAGAGCTGTCCAGTGCAGACTCCAGTGTGGGTTGCATAGAGCTGTCCAGGGCAGACTCCAGTGTGGTTTGCCTAGAGCTGCTCAGTGCAGACTCCAGTGTGGTTTGCCTAGAGCTGTCCAGGGCAGACTCCAGTGTGGTTTGCCTAGAGCTGTCCAGTGCAGACTCCAGTGTGGTTTGCCTAGAGCTGTCCAGTGCAGACTCCAGTGTGGTTTGCCTAGAGCTGCTCAGTGCAGACTCCAGTGTGGTTTGCCTAGAGCTGTCCAGTGCAGACTCCAGTGTGGTTTGCCTAGAGCTGCTCAGTGCAGACTCCAGTGTGGTTTGCCTAGAGCTGTCCAGGGCAGACTCCAGTGTGGTTTGCCTAGAGCTGCTCAGTGCAGACTCCAGTGTGGTTTGCCTAGAGCTGTCCAGGGCAGACTCCAGTGTGGTTTGCCTAGAGCTGCTCAGTGCAGACTCCAGTGTGGTTTGCCTAGAGCTGTCCAGGCCTGACTCCAGTATGGTTTGCCTAGAGCTGTCCAGGGAAGACTCCAGTGTGGTTTGTCTAGAGCTACTCATTGCAGACTCCAGTGTGGTTTGCCAAGAGCTGTCCAGGGCAGACTCCAGTGTGGTTTGCCTAGAGCTGTCCAGAGCAGACTCCAGTGTGGTTTGCCCAGAGCTGTCCAGGGCAGACTCCAGTGTGGTTTGCCTAGAGCTGCTCAGTGCAGACTCCAGTGTGGTTTGCCTAGAGCTGTCCAGGGCAGACTCCAGTGTGGTTTGCCTAGAGCTGCTCAGTGCAGACTCCAGTGTGGTTTGCCTAGAGCTGTCCAGGGCAGACTCCAGTGTGGTTTGCCTAGAGCTGCTCAGTGCAGACTCCAGTGTGGTTTGCCTAGAGCTGTCCAGGGCAGACTCCAGTGTGGTTTGCCTAGAGCTGCTCAGTGCAGACTCCAGTGTGGTTTGCCTAGAGCTGTCCAGGCCTGACTCCAGTATGGTTTGCCTAGAGCTGTCCAGGGAAGACTCCAGTGTGGTTTGTCTAGAGCTACTCATTGCAGACTCCAGTGTGGTTTGCCCAGAGCTGTCCAGGGCAGACTCCAGTGTGGTTTGCCTAGAGCTGTCCAGAGCAGACTCCAGTGTGGTTTGCCCAGAGCTGTCCAGGGCAGACTCCAGTGTGGTTTGCCTAGAGCTGTCCAGAGCAGACTCCAGTGTGGTTTGCCTAGAGCTGTCCAGGCCTGACTCCAGTGTGGTTTGCCTAGAGCTGTCCAGGGCAGACTCCAGTGTGGTTTGCCTAGAGCTGCTCAGTGCAGACTCCAGTGTGGTTTGCCTAGAGCTGTCCAGGCCTGACTCCAGTGTGGTTTGCCTAGAGCTGTCCAGGGAAGACTCCAGTGTGGTTTGTCTAGAGCTACTCATTGCAGACTCCAGTGTGGTTTGCCCAGAGCTGCTCAGTGCAGACTCCAGTGTGGTTTGCCTAGAGCTGTCCAGAGCAGACTCCAGTGTGGTTTGCCTAGAGCTGTCCAGGGCAGACTCCAGTGTGGTTTGCCCAGAGCTGTCCAGGGCAGACTCCAGTGTGGTTTGCCTAGAGCTGCTCAGTGCAGACTCCAGTGTGGTTTGCCTAGAGCTGTCCAGGGCAGACTCCAGTGTGGTTTGCCCAGAGCTGTCCAGGGCAGACTCCAGTGTGGTTTGCCTAGAACTCTCCAATGCATCGCTGGTTTTCTGAGGGGGTGGCGAGTTCTGGGCCGATCCTACCATCTCTTCCCAGCCCCCTTTTTCCTTCTCCCCCATTTCTTCTCTTTGACCATGTACCAGCCCCCGGTGAGTCCACTGCGCTCAGCGACGTTGCCCGTATTTTACTGTGTTGCGTTCTCTCCTTTGTGTCCAGTCCTGGGGTACCTGCCCATTACCTGGCCAGTGCACAGACGCCGAGATGGTGGGTGCTGGGGTCATGGAGCAGCGGCCATAGGTTGTCCCCCTCATCGGACTCCTTGGTCAGGCCCTCTCTCATGGCCTGGGCTTGCACGCACTTCAGAGTTGTGGTGGAGAGCCTGAGGGGCCAGGTGGCATCACCAGTGAGTCACCCTGCACAGTGAACGGTGGCTGCCCCAGCGCCCCCCCCCCCCCCGCCCGCCCCACACACTCCGCCACTCCTGCGTTAACCGACGGTGCGCAAGTTAAACAGGCAGCCTGGTCTCACACTTTAGTTTGGGGGTCAAAGGGGACATCGAGGTGATTCGAGCTGGTAAATAATACCACAAAATCGCCTCAACCTCTCATGAGAAAATGAAGCCCTAAAGGATGGAAAATGAAAAAATGCCATATTTCATTGATTCTGAAGCAGCACCTCAGAAGTCTGGATGCGTCGTGTTGTGGCTAGTGTGTCACTGTTGTCACCCAGACAATGGTTGTGATGTTGCTATTGCCTGTGCACACACACGCACACGCATGGATTTAGGTGTGGCTCTTCTCACGGATGACATTTCAGTGAATTTACATGTATTATTCTTTTATTCCTCACCCGAGGACATTTTTCTATTTATCATTAGATAGAGTGGGAGGGAGGGAGGGAGAGAGAGAAACATCGATGTGATAGAGCCACACCGGCTAGTTGCTTCCCGCCACTTATTTGTTCTGTGACCGTTCTGGGCAGTGGCACCGAGTACTGACTCAGGAAAGACTTGGTCCAAGGCTTAAGTGCAGTGGAGCCTCGTGCCCTCATGTGTAGTTGGGCCCACGCCCCAGGCGCGGGGTCTGGGACCAGGACAGCCCCGCCTGCCCCTTACCTGCAGGGGTCTGCCATCTGCTGCCGCTCCCCCTGCTGCATCACCCGGCGCCGGAGGCTCAGGGAAGAAGCGGGCATCTCCTGGCCCAGTGTGCAGCTGACCAGCTTCAGGAGGAGGGTGAACAGCTGTGGGTACAAGCCTGCCACTGGGGTGCCTATTGACACCACTTCTTGGATAGCACAGGCCACCTGAGCGAGAAAGGAGCCCGTGGTCAGGCGGCTCCTCCCGCCAAGGGCATCCTCACTGGGCTGCTCGGCAAGTTGGCCTTCTCCCCAGACACTGCCTCCCGGGGGGCCACGCTTATGGCCAAAAGGCACAGAGGAGGAAGGGCTGTTCTGGAAACTTCCCGACCCAGCTATGGGCCTCCTCGGGGCCACCGCGTTGGGCGGCTCCAAACCCCAGGGGTGCCCGTCAGGCAAAATGACGTTTTCCAGGAGTGGGGTCTTTCAGCAAAGAGAGGGCACTTCAGGTCGCTGGAGACAGGTTTGGGAATACAGATCCCGACTTTCTCTGGGCTGAGGAGAATGGCAGCCGCAGACACCATCACTGCCGTGTTTGTCTGTTATGAACGGGGGTCGATTTAAAGCCAGGACACGGAGGAGAAGGGTGAGCAATGACGCTCCCCCAGCTCCCGGTGGAACAGTCTCGGGGCCCAGTCCCAGGCGGGACGGGTGCCGGCTCACTGCGATGGCGCCCATGCTGGCCAGGTCGTCTTCCAGCCTGCTGTCCAGCTTGTCCGTCAGGGCTCGCAAGAGTCCGCCGCGGGAGGCCGGGTGCTCGGCCAGAGCCTTCCACAGCGTCTTGGTGTCCCTAGGCAGCGAGGAAGGCGGCTGAGGACACACAGCTCCTTGGAACACGAGCTTCCCGTCTGACCGCTCGGAAACCACATGACGACCAGCCAGCACGTCGAGGACAGACGGGCATGTTAGCAGGCCCAGGGATGGCAGGGTATTTAACAAGCCAGCTTTCTGGCCTGGGGTTACTGAGGCTTGTTAACGTCCATCAAGACAGACACCTCTCAACCAGGTGTATTCTGAGCAACCAAAAAGCGGAGAAATAATCATTTTCTGATACTCATGTATTCCCATGGGGCATTTAAGAAAAACATCATTAAGGGCCTGGCCAGTGCAGCTCAGTGGTTGAGCATGGACCCCTGCACCAAGGGGTCACCGGTTCGGTTCCTGGTCAGGGCACACGCCCAGGTTGTGGGCCCGATCCCCAGTGGGGGGCATGCAGGAGGCGGCCAATTAATGTTCTTGCTCATCGTTATTTCTATCTCTCTCTCCCTTTCTCTTCTTCTCTCTCTAAAATCAATAAAGGAAAAATATTAAAAAAAGAAAAGCATCATTATTATTCCATGAATATGTATATGTATATATATGGAAAACATCACTTGAGATTCTACACCCATTTTAAAATTGTTATTCAGGGGAGACGTTTTAACCTGTACTGGCTCTTCCTCTCCACCCCAGACCGTCCCCGACGCCCTGAAGAGTGGCCTTTCCCGGAGGGGGGCCAGTTCAGCAGGCTCTACCTGTCGAAGGGCAGAGGCTTCTGAAGAAGGTTGGCGACGACCGCGCCCGTGTGGAAGCTGGCGATCTGGGACACGGCTTCGAGGGTAGCCTGGAAACTCTTCTCCTTTTGTCTGAGGATCGGCATGTGGTAGTAGATTATGCTCAGAATCTCCAACAGCTGGAAGGAAAAAGCCAAATCCAACGTTAAGCTGTCGTTTTCCCTCTAGGATGGAAAGACGTAGGGTGTTCGGTCAGCGTGGTTGATGAGTTATAAAAAATGTTAGCAGTGGTCATCGATTCTACACATGGCCTTTCCCTTATTCAGGAGACTTGTTGACAAATTGGGTATTTATTCCTTTTATTTTTTTTAAATCCTCACTTGAGGATACTTTTTTCCATTTTATCTTCAGGTAAGAGTAGGAGAGAGATAGAGAGAGAAACATCCATGTGAGAGAGACATATTGATTGGTTGCCTCCTGCATGACCCCTGACCAGGGCTGGGGATGAACCGCAAACAAGGTACATGCCCTTGACCGGAACTGAACCCGTGATTCTTTGGTCTGTGGGCCGACGCTCTACCGCTGAGCCAAACCGGCCAGGGCTGGGTAGTTATTCTTAAATCAATTCAGTGAGTATTTAGGGAAAGGCTGGTTTGTGCCAGGTCTTGTGCTGAGTTGAGAACTGAGCAATTTACCCCAGATGAGGAAGATGCAGCCTTCTCTCAAAGAAACAGGTGGTCTAGGGAAGGCTGTTGGGCATATACTCAAAGGCTTGTGTGCAAGACAGTGTATGTCAAATGGTGTACAAGAGATACACAGGCCTGATGGGGAGTCCAGAAGTAACTGAGGCCACTTTGGAGGGACATCGGGTCGGGGTCTTGAAGGATATACAGCAATCTCAAAGGCAAGCTAGACACGGTGGTGAAAGGCAGCTTCATGAGGAAGAACACAGGCAAAGATGTGACATTTAAACCAGGAGACTAGGCAGAGCCCGGAGGCTTTTCGGAGCAGTGAAACTATTTTGTATGACACAACTGTGGACACATGTCATTATACATTTGTCAACACCAACAGTGAACCCTAATGCCAACTAGGGACTTTGGGTGATTATTTTGTGTCAGTGTAGGTTCATCGACTATAAAAAATGTACCTCTGTGGTGGGGGATGTTGAGAGCAGAGGAGGGTGTGTGTGTGTGTGATTGTGTGTGTGGGCAGGAGGGTTAGGAGAAGTCTATACCTTCTGCTCAATTTTGCTGTGAGCCTAAAACGGCTCTAAAAAATAAAATCTGTATCTTGAAAATATCATGCTAAGGGAATTAAGTCAGACAGAAAAAGTTAAGAGCCATATGACTTCACTCATATGTCGACTATAATACTGAAAGCAACAAATGAACCAACAGGCAAAAACTCATAGACACAGACAACAGTATGGTGGTTACCAGAGAGAAGGGGGTAGGGGTGAAGGGTAGTGAACAGTAAAGGGGTCAAATATATGGTGATGGAACATGATTTGACTTTGGGTGGTGGCCACACAATGTAATACACAGCTGGAATCGTACACTCGCAACCTACATAATCTTATTAACTGTTGCCACCCCAATAAATTTAATTAAAATAAAATAAAATAAAATAAAAAATAAAGAAAACTATATAAAAAACCATCATGAGATCATGGGCACAATGAAATGCAGAAAAGACTTCTGGAACTGGTGAATGGTCTAGCTCGGCGCACAGGGAGCATGGTGACAAAGGACGACAGTTGGACAGCAAAGATGAAGCCAGATTCGAGAGGGCTCTGCAGGCCACCTTTATGAATCTGGATGTTCGTCTGCGGGTTGCGTGGAATGATGTGATACAATTGGGTTGTTGACTTGGAAAAGGAAATGTGCCAAAGTCACGTTGCTTCTAGTGGAAGTTTCTCTCGTTTATTCTGGATAAAGACTGTTAGGTTAAGCACAACATGATTATTACAAAGTCTCTTTTCAATGATTCTTGGAGAGGATTTAAGTCCCTTGGTAAACCTTCACCTATTGTGTGACTCCCTTTCATGCTAAATGCACACATTCATAAACACTCTAGATTTATTATCTTTGACTCTCTCATGCCTACCACAGTGCCTGCCAGTTGTATGTAGTCAATAAATGTTTTTGCAAAAAACTGATTGGGAAGTAATAACCTAGAGGTCATTTGTAAAAGTCATGCTGTAGAGAATTCTTTGATTTAGGGTGGTTGGCTGGGCTGTGGGGACCATAACTTCTTTCTCCTGTTCCCTTGAGAAGCCCTCTTTGAGTCAAAGATCCTTTTCCTCCTCATTAACCTTTGCGTGGTGCGTATCCTGTTTCTGACTTCCAGAGAGAGGCTAGAGCATCTTCATTCAGAGCTCTTAGCCAAGCTTCCTTCATTGAAACCCTGTTGCTCTGCGTCCCTCTGCAGCTGGGAGGAGGGGTGGAGGACTTTGCCCTCCATCAGTTCCTCAGCGACAGCCCTCCTCACCCAGACACAATCTGTAGGGCGCGGGAGGAGCAGCCCGAAGAGGGCAGTGGGGTTAGAGGCCTCCTTGGCTCTCCGTGGCCATCCCAAAAGCATTCATGAGCTCACTGTCACCCTCGCAGATCTAACGACCCAGTTTTCCCTGATCCCAGTGCTCTGGCCAGGGAGTGACAGTTTGGAAAGATTTTATGATCACGGATTAGAGAGGCAATCGAGACAGCCTGAGACGCTCAGCAAGAGCCTGTTGTTAATACACAACGTGGGTCTCTGCTGAGGCCTCCTGGGCTACGCACGCTCTGGTTGCTGCCCCTCAGAGGACAAAGTGAGAAGTGGTCACCGACCTGGCGTTTCTGAGGGTTGGAATTCTGCCCGGTTGTCAGGATGGGCTGTCAGTTTACCTGATCTTCCAAGGCAGCTCCCTGCTCCTTCAGGACTGTGATCATCCATATGCCACAGGCCGTTGTACACGTGGGGTTGAGGGTCTCCAGACCGTCCAGGACTTCCTCCAGGAACATGGTCACTTCTTCACTTGGGATGAGTTTGCTAACAATCTGAGAATATACCGGAAAACTCATGCTGTCACCTACCACGTGCGCTCATTCCTTGATTTAGGGTATTGGAGACCAATGGGCTTGGCAAGCACTGAGCATATGACTGGGCCTTAGAAACCAGAGAAAATACTGAAATAGGACAGAGACATGACCTTTCACCTCTACGCAAACTTTCCCTGGAGTTGCCTCTTTATTATTTCACATTTGTCCAGTCCCAGGCCTGCTAACCCAATTTTCTCTCCAAACTAAAGTGATAGGGAAAAACGATGCATAATGTTTTCATAGCAATGCGTATGCCTCACAGTACTTCACACACATTTCCTATAACCAGAGCAAGTCTCGCATCTGCCAAAGAATAGCTAAGACTTGAGAATTCAGGAAAGTCTCTCACCGAGTGGTAAGACCATGCTGAACCCCAGGTGCCTTGGCAAACACACAGGGGGCGCACTGTGACGAGCCCTGACTTTGCTCTTCCCAGTCTCAATATTCATAGTAGTCAATAAAAGGTCAAGAGAATGAAACTGCAATTTTGGTCTCTGTGTACAAGAACTACCCAGAACGTTGGATGATAGCAGTGTGTGTGTGTGTGTGTGTGTGTGTGTGTGTGTGTGAGAAAAGTTAGCAGATTGCATGAATTCCAGAGGTATTATCTGGGACTTTAACCAAGCAAGGTAGTCATCATTAGGAGTCTGTAGGTAAGAAAACATTCCTATTCACAACTGATTTCCCCTGCATTAAGTGGCCTGATGATGCGTTGCATGTCCTAGCCAGTTTGTGCATTGTCATGGTTCTGGGAGTGGCGTGTCCTAGCCAGTATGTGAGTTATCATGGTTCCTGGAGTTGTGTGTCCTAGCTGATATGTGCGTTGTCATGGTTCCTGAAGTTGCGTGTCCTAGCCAGTGTGTGCATTGTCGTGGTTCCTGGAGTGGTGTGTCCTAGCCAGTGTGTGCGTTGTCATGGTCCCTGGAGTTGCGTGTCCTAGCTGGTATGTGTGTTGTCATGGTTCCGGGAGTAGTGTGTCCTAGCCAGTGTGTGCGTTGTCATGGTTCCTGAAGTTGCGTGTCCTAGCCAGTGTGTGAGTTGTCGTGGTCCCTGGAGTTGCGTGTCCTAGCCAGTATGTGCGTTGTCATGGTCCCTGGAGTTGCGTGTCCTAGCTGGTATGTGCGTTGTCATGGTTCCGGGAGTGGTGTGTCCTAGCCAGTGTGTGCGTTGTCATGGTTCCTGGAGTTGTGTGTCCTAGCCACTGTGTGCGTTTTCATGGTCCCTGGAGTTGCGTGTCCTAGCCACCACTGTGTGCGTTATCATGGTCCCTGGAGTTGCGTGTCCTAGCCAGTGTGTGCGTTGTCATGGTCCCTGGAGTTGTGTGTCCTAGCTGGTATGTGCGTTGTCATGGTTCCTGGAGTTGTGTGTCCTAGCTGGTATGTGCGTTGTCATGGTTCCTGGAGTTGCGTTTCCTAGCCACTGTGTGCGTTATCATGGTCCCTGGAGTTGCATGTCCTAGCCAGTATGTGCGTTGTCGTGGTCCCTGGAGTTGCGTGTCCTAGCCACTATGTGCGTTATCATGGTCCCTGGAGTTGCATGTCCTAGCCAGTATGTGTGTTGTCGTGGTCCCTGGAGTTGCGTGTCCTAGCCACTATGTGCGTTATCATGGTCCCTGGAGTTGCATGTCCTAGCCAGTATGTGCGTTGTCGTGGTCCCTGGAGTTGCGTGTCCTAGCCACTATGTGCGTTATCATGGTCCCTGGAGTTGCATGTCCTAGCCAGTATGTGCGTTGTCATGGTTCCTGGAGTTGCGTGTCCTAGCCGGTGTGTGAGTTGTCATGGTCCCTGGAGTTGCTTGTCCTAGCCGGTATGTGCGTTGTCATGGTTCCTGGAGTTGCGTGTCCTAGCCAGTGTGTGAGTTGTCATGGTTCCTGGGGTTGCGTGTCCTAGCCAGTATGTGAGTTATCACGGTTCCTGGATCAAAGGACTAGACTAACTTCTCTGTTCTATGTGGCACCAAATACCTGCCTGGGGTCCAAGCTCAATGGCCATCTTTTTCTTTCTTTTTTAGAAAAATCACATTCTGATGAGTATTGGTTTAGAAAGAAAGGAAGGAAGGGAACTCATGATTTTGAGCACCTATTATGTGTCAGATATTAATGTGACATCTGTTCCCCACAAGTCCCCACCTCGCTTTTCTCCCATATTCTGATCACTCTCTTGTTGTCACCGCAGCTGCCACCTTAGTCCAAGTCACCTAATCTCACACCTGGATCCTCACGGTTTCCTGCAAATTAGTTCAGTAATTTTGCTCTTGCCAGCCTATGTCCTTGTCTAAACAGCAGCCAGATGACCCTTCAGAAATATAAATGCAGTCATGTTCCTCTTCACCACCAGCCCAGAAAGGCTGTTGCCAATTAGGTAAAAGTATTCTGTCCTTTACTCTGATTTTGTTGGACCTTTTACTGCCGTCTGTGGATAATTGCCACAATACATATAAATCTAGAGTGTCTACTTTAGGAATGATGCCACCTGACATGGGGGTGCCCTTGCGCATTTTTCACAACTGGCACAATTGTAGGTAGTAGGACCAAAACCCTCTGCTGGCTTTAGATTTCAATTGCAGTAAAAAGCCAAGGTTCCTGAATTACCACTGGGCTATCTCCTGAATCTCATTATCTACTTCTTTCACCACCTCAGGGCATTTGCACTTGCTGTTTCCCCTCTGCCTGGAATGCTCTTTTCCAGAGGTCTGCATGTTTCTCTCCTCCCGAGACCTCCTTAAGGGATTCCCCTTCCCTTCCTTGACTTATTTTTTCTCAGCTGTCACTATCTGACTTATTTATTTGGCGGACTCTGTCTATTAGGAAGCAAGCTCAATGAGGGCAGGCATTTAGTCTTTTTCTGTGTTTAGAGCTCAGGACAAGTCTGGCATTTAGTAGTGCACAGGGCAGATTAGGTGAATAAATGACTGACTGAGTGAATTGACCGACCAGTCCTCACAACCACTGAGAGGGAGGTTAGGTACTTTGCTAGGGATGAGGGTTCTAGCATTGAGCAGTGCACATGGAGTGTACCTGGTGAACCCTACAGCCCCTGTCCCTCTCCCCCACTCCGCGGCCTCCCTCAACCTGCAGAGGGCGCTTGGTCGGCAAGGTTTCCCAGAGTATGAAATGAGCAGCAGGCAGCGACTGGGCACATGTCAGCCCAGAGTTCATAGACGACGGGACAAAGGCCCTTCACTCGGCTTGCGTGGCTACACTGCTGCCCTCCGTGCTAGTGGGGTGTACACAGCTTACTCACTTGGAAGAAATCCAGAATCCTCTTCCACCCCTTGACCAGTCCTCCAGGTCTGTTACCTTGGCTATTTTGGAGGAGATCTTGATCTGGATGTCCACATCGTCACATTGCAGCCCTTCCTGCAGACCCTGCAGTCTCTCCATTTCCAGTTGAACACCTACAGCCAACCAGGGGGACAGACTTAAGAGGTCAAAGGCCTGGCGGACGCGGAGGAGGCTGGCTATGCTGTGAGGTGACACGGGTTCAGCTGCTGGACACCTGTGACAGACACTGCAGACGGTCTGACGAGACCAACGAGTGTAAGAACGAACACGCCCTGAGTAGTTTTCCCCTGCCGGGCTCCCTGTTCAACACCCCACTCATCGACCTCGATTATTACTCAGAAAGGTCATCTGAGGTGGAGTCTCCTGTTATCATCCCCAACTCGCTGAGTCAGAGGTAGGGAGCCCTCTGGCCACATGACGGTGAGTGAACACGAGAAAGGCAGAACTTGTGCCGCGGTCCGTCGGACACCCTGACACCCGTGCCCAGGTCTCCCGGCGCCGCCAGCCTGCTGCCTGTCGGACTTTCACGCTGCTGGGGGGGAGTGGGAAGGTAGCCTTCGCAACAAGAACTGCGTGGGTGCTTGCTGGTCGCAGTGGGCAGAAGCAGATCTAAACAGTAATGCTGTTCTGTCTGCTGTTGGAATGTATGGGGATTGTGGAAACACACACCTGAGTGAGTCGGTGGGAGGCCACCTAGACCAACGAAACACACACAGGCTCTGGACTCACGCAGACCTGGGCGCAAAGCCCGGCTCCCCGAGTTCAGGGGTCCCTGTCACTAGCACCTTTTTAACCTCAGATCCCACATCTCGAAACTGACTGAGCAACACCCATGAGAATTAAATGGGTATTTCATTTAGTATCATGCTCGTTACTTGTATCTAGTAGGTGTTCAGTACTCATGTCCTTTCTCTCTACCATGCTTATTTGATCAATCAAGAAAAAGAGTTAAGGTGAATAACAACTTATGGGATTTCTTGTTAACAAAGAGTGTTTGAAGATGAACTTTGCGTGTCTCAGGGAAATGAAGGAGCTGAAGGAAGAACAGGGAGGACAATACTAGAATTCAGATTCCTTCCTCCATCTGGGGTCCCCACTCTGACACATCTCTTCCCTCACTGAAGCGGCCCCTCACTTCCTTGGTTCATTTGGACTTTTCTGGCTTGGTCACAGCATGTATCCTTAATGACTTACCTTCCCATGTCCAAGGGACTTTCACTCCTATTCCGTTTCTGCTGAAAAGTGTTTTTCTTTTTGACTGACCACCCCTCACCCATCCCGCCCACCAAACCCCAGCTTTTGGCTTTAACACGATTTTCCTGTGTGAATCTCAGAATGTGTATCTCTGTGTCTCCAGCACCGGAACCGTGCCTGCCCCGTGGGATGGCACCGGGGAAGTGTGTCCCGGTACCTGCCGGATGCAGTGAAATGAACACGCGATGGCACTGCCCTGGGCCGAGCCTGCCCGGGTCCCCGGGCCACACGCAGCTGAGCACTGACTGCAGGGCTGTGCCGCACCTGCCGCCGGGCCCCGGGCAGAAGGCCCTGGGTGCTGGGGTCGGCCCTGGCCGGGGTTTGTTAACTCCTACGGTCACTGACACTGACAGTTATTCACAGGTACTCGGAGCGCAGACCGAGGCCCCGGGGTGCCAGCTGGGGAGCCCGCACGAAGTTCTCTGTTAGGGAACCGGAATAACAGGGTGGCTTCCCCTGTGAGAAGCCGGGCGACAGAGGAGGCGTCGCTGACAGGCCAGGTGCTCAGCGATGAAAATCACGCTCTCAAAACATCTCTCCCACTTGAATGGCTCTTTGGGATGCGCTGGTGTCACGATCTTTATTTAATAAAACAGGGAAACAGGACCACCGAGGAAAAAAGACCCAAGCGAGAAATTCTGTGACCTGATTGCGGTACGAGAACGCAGAAGTGGCTGCACCGGGGAGGGCGGAGGGAAGAGAGAAAGGGGGAGAGAAAGGGAGGAGACAGACGTACAAGCAGGGAAACGAGCCCGCGGAAACGTTCTCTCCTCCTCGGGCTGCTGCTCACCTTTCATACAGAACAGGGCGATGGCAGCGCTGGTGGCCGCCTGGCGGATGGTGGCCAGGGTGTCACAGGAGTGCGGGACCAGAAGGCCCAGGAGCGAGCCGATCTTAAAGTCGTCTGGTGCCTGCAGGACAAAGGGGGGCCCCGAGGTGACAGGGTGGCTTGATGTAATATCTCCGGATATTCCGCACACTGGACAGGCGCCCCTGTTTACCCCCGCAGGTCCTCAGAAGGAGGTTGAATCTTGAACTCCCCCTCTGTGGCGGGGAGAGTAGGCAAGCGCACCACCACGGCCACTAGCGGTCGGAAAGCCCTGTGTCTGGGCTGGGCCCCGGGGAGGGGGTGGGGATCCCCGGGGCCTCAGAGATCTGCCGTGAGCACGCAGGGAAACCCGTTCTCTCCAGGGGACAGCTCACCTCCACGTCATTTGCCAGCACTTTCGCGGTGATCTGGAAGGCTCGTTCTCTTTCCCACTCTTTTTGTGAAACAAGCCACATTCGGAGAAGCTGTGGGTCAAAGGATCAGTGTCCTGTCCTCAGCGTCCTTCGCACACACTCCTCCGCATCCCTGGCTCTCGTCCCCACTGCCTCGGTCTCTCTGCTGCGTCCGAAACAGGGTCTCACCTCCCTCACCCGGTGGCCCGGCCCTGCGTGGCGGGCTAAGCGGTCAGGCTGGAAGCTCCCTGTGAGGGGCTGAGGCCCAGTTTGAGTGGTGCCCAGATTAGGGGCCACAGGGAGCAGTCTGAGCGGGGCCCTACTCACATTGAACATCTCCTGACAGTCCCTGGCTTTCACGTTGTCCCAGATCATGGTCCGCAGCAGCTTCCCCAGTGCATCCATGGAGCGCTCGTAGAGAAACTGGAATTCAAGGTGAGTGGGAGCGCGAGGCCCCGGTGAGCGGGGAACCCCGCCGGGTCCTCACCCCGCCAGGCCCCACCCCACGTACACTGATGTGCTCCTTGTCCTTCTCTGTCTCGCCCTCATCTGTGAGTTTTTCCAGAGGGGGAAGGGGCAGCAGCCTCCGAATCGTCTCTTCAAGAATATTGAGGTGGTCGTGGAGCGAGAGCCGAGGCTTCAGTTTACTGCAAGGAGAACCGCGTGGCGGCGTGGGCACGGTGAGGACAAACAAAACGTGGCCCGCCGGACTGCCAGTCACATCCAAAGGGCTCACGCACACCTTCTGACATGCTGGGATGTGGCGGGAGGTGGTGACGGGGGTAGGGAGAGATTGGGGACAAAGAATGAGACTGTACTGGTCCATTTATTAGAATGAGAAGCAACTCATCATTCATTCTGCATTTACTGACTCTTTAGTGTATGGTCTGTGGTAGCATTAACCTATTTGTTTTCCCCAGAGCTCGTGTGTGTGTGTGTGTGTGTGAGAGAGAGAGAGAGAGAGAGAGAGAGAGAGAGAGAGAGAGAGAGAGAGATTCTAAGTTTGGAGCAGTGCTTATCCACTTCATCTCTCCTCTTGTTATATGTGGTGTCGGACATACCATAGGTTCTTATAAATGCACAAGTGAATAAAGATTCCTTCCGCCCTCCCTCCCTCTTCTCTCTCTCTCTCTCTCTCTCTCTCTCACATTTACTATAGATATCATGAGGATATGAACAGACCTGGACATACCTCGGCAAAATTCAAATGTTCAATAAAACATGAAAAATCCCACTTGTTATTAAATAAATGTAAATTAAGACTATATAATACCACTTGTCAGTGACCAACTGTAAGTGAAGAAGTGAAAACTGACACGCTCAGGGCGGGTGAAATGGGTTCTCTCACAAGGAGGAGACGTTGGACCAGCTGGGACAGCTCTATTGAAAGGGTTAAATGTGTTGATCTCCGCTTGAGAGTCTCCTCATCTTTGCTTTCTGGCTGACTTTTTACAAATGAACTTGCTGTGCCCTGGCTGATTCGGCTCAGCGGTTAGAGCATCAGCCTGTGGACCAGAGAGTCCCGGGTTTGGTTCCCGCTAAGGGCATGTACCTCAGTTGCAGTTTGTCCCTGGCCCCAGTTGGGGTCATGTGGGTGGCAACCAGTCGATGTATCTCTTTCACATCGATGTTTCTCTCTCTTCCTCCCTCTCTCCCTCCTGCTCTATCTGAAGATAAATGCAAAAATGTCTTCAGGTAAGGATAAAAAATAATGAACTTGCTATGTATCCTTATGTTCATAGCAGCACTATTTACAATTGCTAAGATCTGCAAATAGCCCATGTGCCCATCAATGTATGAGTGGATAAAAAATCTGTGGTACATATACACAATGGAGTACTATGCAGCTATAAGAAAGAAAGATCTCTTATCCTTTGAGACGATATGGAAAGACCTGGAGAGTATTATCCTAAGCAAAACAAGCCAAGCAGAGAAAGACAAATATCACATGATTTCACTTATTTGTGGAATATAATGAACAAAACAAGCTGATGAACAAAATAGACCCAGAGACATAGAAGTAGGGTACAGACTGACAAACCTCAGCAGAGGGGGTTGTGGGGGACAGAACAGATAAACCACAGAACTTATATGCATGTATGCTTAACCATGGACATAGACAGCAAAGCTGGGGACGGGGCGGGAGGAGGGGGTGATTGGGAGGAGGGAGTCAATTGGGGGAAAAGGAGAAACAACTATAACAAAAATAAATTAAAAAATAAAAATAAAAATGAACTGGCTGAGGTATAGTTTATGCGCAATGGACTGCACCCATTCAGAGTGCAATTACATGAGTTTTACACCCATGGTATGACCATCATAATCACTACAACACATCCCAATCACCCCAATTTTTCTTTTTGCCTCTTTGTAGTTCACCTCTTTCTCCACCCTGACCCCAGGGAAGCACTGATTTGCTTTCTGCCATCAGATATTAGTTGACAAGGGTCCTGCCCAAGCGAGGTGGCCACGCGCAGCAGAGGGCTATTGAACACGTGGGCTGTAGATAGTCTGAGCTCAGATGCGCCGTCATTCTAAACGCATTGGATTTGGAATATTTACTAAGAAAAACCATACAATAATCTCATTGCTCTTTTCTGTATTGAATATATTGAAATGACAATACAGTGAATATATTGGAATAAATAAAATAATTATTAAAATTAATTTAACTTGCTTCTTTTTACTTTTAAAGGTGGCTACTAGAAAAGACTTTAAATGGCACAGGTGACTTGCATTATCGTTCTACTTCACAGCACTGTTCGAGAGCCTGGTCAATTCCTTTCTTTTAAAAAATTTTTTTTTTTCATTTTTTTAGAGAGAGAGGAAGGGAGAGAGAGATAGAAACATCGATGTGAGAGAGAAACATCATCTGGCTGCCTCCTGCACACTCTCCCACTGGGGATTGAGCCTGCAACCTGGGTGTGTGCCCTGACTGGGAATCGAACCAGGACTTCTCAGTCCATGGGAGGATGCTCAATCCACTCAGCCACACTGACCGGGCAAGGCTGGTCAATTCTTTATTCATGTTCAAGGTTTATTTATTTGAGTTGTGTTCAAGTTTTCCTCATCTTTGTAAACATGGCAACCTGTGCCCTCCCTTATCTTGCCTCTTCCCACACACTTGAGAGGTCATTAGGTACGTTTGCATCTGTTTTCCCCAGCAGGCTCAAATTCTTTCAGGGCAAGGTCATATTTTGTTCATTATTGACTTTTGGAACCTAGTTCAATGCCTGATACAAGGATGGTGCTTGATAACATTCATTAAACCACACTGTTAACTTTTATAATTTTAAGTCCAGAGAACACATTTTGCATAAAGGTGTTCACCAAAATATTATTCATAGTTCTCAGAAACAGGCAATAATTAAATAGCAAGAGGAGGTTGGTTATGTAATATGAGGCATTTCTATGCAATAAGCTATTAGAAAGCCATTAAAAATTATGTTTGTTACCTTAACATAATAAAAAACACATATAAAAAGCCTACAGTTGGCATTATACTCAATGGTGAGAGAATGAAAGCTTTCCCTCTATGATAAAAAAAAAGAAGATGCTACTTTTGCCACTTTTATTTAATGTAGTACTGGAAGTCAGAGCAATTAAGCAGGAAAGAAAAAAGAAGTAAAATTACCTTGCTTTGCAGATGATGTGATCTTGTACATAAAAAACCTTCAAGATTCCACATAAAACTATGAGAACTATAAATTCTATAAAGTTGCTGAATACAAAATCAGCACATAATCAGTTGTTTCTATACACAACAATGAATAATCAAAAAGAAAACGAACAATTTCATTTACAACAGCATGAAAAAATATTTTGAAACAAATTAGTCAAGAAAGTGAAAGATTTGTACACTAAAAAGCACAAAATGTTGCTAAAGGAAATTAGACACAAATAAATGGAAAGACATCCCATGTTCATAAACTTGAGGGCTTACTATTGTTAAGTCCATTCTATCCAAAGCCGTCTACTGATTTACTGCAATTCCTATCAAAATCTCAATGGTACTTTTTGTAGAAATAGATAAGTCTACCTTAAAATTCATATGGAGTGACTACAGATAACTAAAATAATCTTTAAAAAGAACAAAGTTGGAGGTCTCACACTTCCTGGATTCAAAATTTATTACAAAACCACTGTAACCCAAACAGGAGGTACTGGCATAAAGAGACAGATATATGGACCAATAAAACAGAGCAGAGAGTCCAGAAATGGACTCCAGCATATATGTTCAAATGCTTTTCAACAAGGTTCTAAGACAATTCAATGGGGGAAAGGACAGTCTTTCAACATACAATGTTGGGAAAACTGGATCTCCACGTGCAAAAGAATAAAATTAGACCCTTACCTCATACCATATACAAAAATTAACTCAAAATGGATTAAAGACCTAAATATAAGGACTAAAACTATTAAACTTCTAGGAAAAAACACAGAGGAAAAAGCTTTATAACATTGGATTTGGCAATGATTTCTCAGGTGAAACACTAAGAACACAGCTAACAAAAGTACAAATGGACAAATGATTCTGCATCAAGATTAAGAAATTCTGTGTATCAAAGAACACAACAGAGTGAAAAGACAACTTATGGACTGAGAGAAAATATTTGCAAATCATATGTTGATAAAGGGTTAATAACCAGAATATATAAAGAATTTCTACAACCCAATGTAACAACAACAACAAACAGTAAAAAATGGGCAGAGGAATTGAATACACGTTTCTCCAAACATATATAAATAGGTACTAAGTATATTAAAAGATGCTCAAAATTGTTAATTATTAGGAAAATGCAACTCAGAACTACTATGAAATACCACCCCATACCCATTTTTTTTACTATTAAAAAAAGTAACAAACAAGACATACAAATGACCAAGAGACATATGAAGAAATGTTCAACATCATTAATCATCAAATTAAAACAATGATGAGGTTTCACTTCACACCTGCCAGAATGGCTGCCATCAACAAATCATCAAACAACAAGTGTTGGTAGGGGTGTGGAGAAAAGGGGACTCTAGTGCACTGCTGGTGGGAATGCAGGCTAGTGCAGCCATTATGGAAAACACTATGGTGTTACCTCAAAAAGCTAAAAATTGAACTGCCATTTGACCCAGTGATCCCACTTCTAGGAATATACCCTAAGAAGCCTGAAACACCAATCCGAAAGAATATATGTACCCCCATGTTCATAGCAGCACTATTTACAATAGCTAAGATCTGGAAACAGCCCAAGCGTCCATCAATAGATGAGTGGATAAAAAAGCTGTGGTACATGTACACAATGGAATACTATACAGCTGTAAGAATGAAAGATCTCGTATCCTTTGAGACAGCATGGAGGGACCTGGAGAGTATTATCCTAAGTGAAACAAGCCAATTAGAGAAAGACAAATATCACATGATCTCACTTATTTGCGGAATATAATGAACAAAACAAACTGATAAACAAAATAGACCCAGAGACACAGAAGTGGGGTACAGACTGACAAACCTCAGAAGACTAGAAGGAGACAGGCCAGAACCTCGAAAGAAGGGGAAGAAAGAGGCATGATTTTATTCTCTTTTCAAACTTTCTATAGTTACCAGGTTTTAATAGTGAACTTGTATTTTTTACTGCAGGGGGAAATAATTGTTTTAAAAATTTGCTTAAAATTATTTTCTTCTTCAGGCTTATTGCTACTAACCAACTAGAATGTGATTAGGGCTTTCATGATATTTTAATGGGAAGATTAAATTTTTCTACAGGCCAAGGTCTAGGAAGAAAAAGTTCCTTTTGCACAGAAACTTCAGTCTTCATGTATCAATGAATCTGAGTCCTCCAAGCAGCTCCCGAGTTGCTGCCAGTCATGAGATGACCAACCTGTCAGCTCTGGAGCTGGAAGGAGATAAGGCCCCTTGCATGAAAGAACCCGTTGAGGAACCGTGCTCCTTTTGAGAAGGATGCACTGATCCGTAAGTCAGGAGGAGATGGGGGAGGAAATCTTTTTGTTCAATGAGAACAATGAAAAATTCTCTACCTGAGGTGTCTGATGGCGACGAGGGCTTTCCAGCGCACAGGGGTAGCCAAGGAGTCCAGGGGCTCGTCTCTGATGAAGTCCTGCCACACAGACAAGGCGGTGCCATGTTTCAGAAAGGATCAAGGGCGTTTTCTGACACAGCTGCAACCTCATTGGACCCTTGGATGCCCTCGGGCAGAAATGTGGCAGAAATCTGTTCCTTAGGACTGGCGAGTTTCACCCATTTTAAGAAAGAGAGCCCTGCACCCTTGGTAACGGACTCCGCAGGGCCTTCCCCATGTCCTCTCTGCTCACTCACCAGCATGTGACCGAGCAGCACCTCCTTGTAGGAAAACCTGAACCCCGGATCCTCAGCATCTTGGACAGCAATGCCAATCTCAGTGATACTTCTTATGAAACTCATCTGCAGATCCATGTCCTAAAACCCAGTGATTCAAGGTACAAGCCGGGGTCTGAGGCAGCACCCCTTTCTATAAATGTGTGATCTAGGTCTGAAAGGTGTGCCCAGAACGGGAGGGACTCTCTGTTCCTCCGCCTCCTTTATCTCAGTCTAGGGTTAAAGTTGCAGGGAAGTTGGAAAGAAAGGGTCAATTCCCACTTCCTCCCTCGACCTCCACCCGGCCTGATCGATTGAGGTTTCTCTAGAGCAGGGGCGTTCACACTTTCTGACCATAAATCGCAGCAGGAAACAGTTTACAATCCCCCAGTAGCTACATGAACCACATCTATAGCTATTATCTATCTATCTATCTATCTATCTATCTATCTATCTATCTATCTGAAATAAAAGTTTCAGGATCCTTATTGTTTATATGCAATGTACTCTTCTATTTCTCCTTTATTTCACTACAAAAATTTTGCTGGTTGTGATCTATTAAATACATTTCCTGGTCTGCTGGTGGGTCACAACCCACGGTTCTAAAAACCCTGCTGTAGTTCACAGCCTGGTTTCCAGACCACCTGTAACCAAATACAGCGGCTTGTTCTGTCCTAGATCGGGCTCTGGGATCCTGGCTTCAGAATTGGGTCAGTTAGTGAGATATTGGGGTCTTTTCCTCTGGAATCACATCAAGAGGACACTGATGCTTACTGCACTTCCAGGGAGCATGATCTGAGTTCAAATATATCACGTACCTTGTTCATCACAGACATGCCCAGAACCTGAAAATTCAAAGGCAAAAGCAGACCCTGGAGCAGCAGGGAGAGAGTTCCCGCACCCCCACAAGAAGACCCACCCATCAACTTGAAGGACACGGTGAAGCGGGACCCCCGCTCTTGCCAAAGGGTGGGGACTGCTCCCTCCCTCCCTGGTTTTCGAAGTGAGGCCATGTACATGGGCAGGAACGTTCCCTCGGGCGACTCCTGAGCACGCTGCAGAGGCAGCCTTTGGGTTCAGGCTTCACAGTCTGAAGGGGCTCTGCCAGACTAAGGTTAGGAAAAGGGGGAGGTCGCTTGGCAGAGAGAGTGGCAAAAACTTCTAAAAGGAGAAGTAATAGGGCAGCTCACGCTGGAACTGGATATGGTCCGTTCTGATATCATGCTTGTGTTGAACATTCAAATTCGTTCCAATGAGACTGGCACATGAGGGATACTTGTAGCAGTTATGAGTACATGCGCAGTTGCATTCATGAGAGCAAAACGGTGCCCTAGTTGAACTGAGCTGCGTAAAAACAGTCACACACACCCCACACGCCTGCGCTGTGTGTGTGAGCACTCCTCCGCATTCGGGTTACAACTGTCCATCAGGTTGCAGGCACCCTTTCTTCGCCATCAAGGAAAACTGTCTTTTTTTTTTTGTAATATATATTTGGCCCACAACCTGGGCATGTGTCCTGACCGGGAATCGAACTGGTGACCTCCTCGTGCATGGGTCAACGCTCAACCACTGAGCCACACAGGCTGGGCAACTCTGGGAAGTTGTTTTAAATTTGGTCCCTAGGTGAGTCTTAGGTGGCAACTTGGTACCAGTTAGCAAAATGGCTGAATTGACAATATGTATAAAGCACTTTATGAAAGATACAAAAGTGTTATGGGGGTGGAAAAGATGGGATGAATCTAATTTAGCTCAGCAGCTCTGAGTTAGGAGCAGAACATTCTTGGCATGTTTGAGAGTGTCAAGGACTGTCAGGGATGAACGTAGAGGGGAAACAGCACAACATGAGGTGCACTGGGTAGACTGATGAGTGACATATTTTATTCACTTGAAAGCACACATGTGGCATTTATTTGTGAAACACTGTTTTATGTGGTTTATAAAAATTATTATATAAAAGTTTAAACAACTGCCACCAGTAACACTTTAGAGGCTATTAGAAGGAACTAATAAGCCAGCGGCCCTAAAGTGAATTGGAATAATTGTTTGAAGTTCAAAAGTGGGAGAGCCCACTATGGGAATTTATTTGGGAAGGCATCATGGGCGCGCTAGGACATGAACATCCCAAGACTTTAGGAAAGAAACAAATTACCTGACCCTATTTCATAATAAACTTCTGTTCCCACATGTTCTTATCTCCCAAATATATCAGATTCTATCTTGACTTTGGCCTGTTCCTTTGAGCATGAAGATTCCCTAGGACTGAGCCACTCCAAGGTTTGGGAACCCCAGCCTGGAAATCGAGGTGGGCGGTCCTGGTCATTACCTGAGAGCACTGGCCATATAGAAACAGGACTTGGGATACGATGTCTTGATCAAGCCTGGTGAGGAGCTGACCCTTGGGAGCGTGGAGGGCCACAGCTCCATAGATTACCATGACGTCAGTCTTGCTCAGGCTCTTTTTCCCCGAAAAAAGACCCTGAAGACAAGGAGAAACAGGAAGAATACAACTGAGGGAGTTTTCTTTCCTTCACGTCTTTTACTGCTACGGATGACTGCAGGGGTTAAGAAATGAGACTGGGGTGATTAAAATTTATCTAAAATGGGTGCTCGTTTGTCCAAATTTAAACACCCTGGACTGTGTTATGGATATATCAGGTTTTGATAGAGATACCTGTGAGAGGCTTGTGCTAACTTTTATTTATTAAATTTGTCTCCTTCAGGACAGCAAGGCATACACAATGGACTCTGTCTCTGCTGAGCAGCTGGTCGGGACAAACCTAGACACGCACAGAGCTCCTTAGGACCTTCCGGGTCAACGTTAGCGACAGAAATAGAATAGCCTGGTTATCTAGCTGGTCATTCTACAGGGCTGGGGTTCCCGCAGTTCTGACCTGGAATAAACTCCTGGGGACAACATATTAGCAGAAAACTACAGGACATTGAAAAAAAAAATAGAGGAAGATATAAAAAAGTAGAAGCACATATCTTGTTCATGAATTGGAAGAATTAACATCATTAAAATGTCCATATTACCCAAAGCAATCTATAGATTCAATGCAATCCCCATAAAAATACCAATGACATATTTCACAGAACTAGAACAAATACTTCAAAAGTTCAGATGGAACCAAAAAACACCCCGAATAGCCACAGCAATATTGAAAAAGAAGGACAAAGTAGGTGGGACCACAATGCCTGATATCAGGTAATACTACAAAGCTACTGTAATCAAAACAGCCTGATACTGGCACAAGAACAGGCATACAAACCAGTGGAACAGAACAGAGAACCCAGAAATGGACCCAAGACATTATGCTCAATTAATATTTGACAAAGGTAGGAAGAGCATACCATGGAGTAAAGACAGCCTTCTTAGTAAATGGTGTTGGGAAAATTGGACAGCTACATGCAAAAAAATGAAACTAAACCATCAACTTACACCATACACAAGAATAAACTAAAAATGGATAGAAGACTTAAATGTGACTCATGAATCCATAAAAATCCTAGAAGAAAATGTAGGCAACAAAATTTTGGGTATCATACGCAGCAGAATTTTAACTGATACACCACCTAAGGCAACAGAAACAAAGGTAAAAATGAACACATGGGACTACATCAAACTCAAAAGCTTCTGCACAGCAAAAGAAACAACCATCAAAATGGAAAGGCAACCCACTCTATGGGAGAGCATCATTGCCGATGATATATCAGATAAGGGGTTAATTTCCAAAATATATAGAATGCTCATACAACTCAACAAAAGGAAGACAAAGAATCCAATTAAAAATGGGCAGAGGAACTAAATAGACACTTCTCCAAACAGGACATACAAATGGCCAAAAGGCATATGAAGAAATGCTCAACATCACTAATCATCAGAGAGATGCAAATTAAAACAACAATGAGGTTTCACCTCACACCTGTCAGAATGGCCACCATCAATAAATCATCAAACAAGTATTGGAGAGGGTGTGGAGAAAAGGGGACTCTAGTACATTGCTGGTGGGAATGCAGAGCGGTGCAGCCACTATGAAAAATAACATGGTGTTACCTTAAAAATTTTAAAATTGAACTGCCATTTGACCCAGTGATCCCACTTCTAGGAATATACCCTAAGAAGCCTGAAACACCAATCAGAACGAATATATGTACCCCCATGTTCATAGCAGCACTATTTACAGTAGCTAAGATCTGGAAACAGCCCAAGTGTCCAAAAGTAGACGAATGGATAAAAAAGCAGTGGTACATATACACAATGGAGTACTATGCAGCTCTAAGAAAGAAAGATCTTTTATCCTTTGGGACGACATGGAAGGACCTGGAGAGTATTATCCTAAGTGAAACAGGCCAAGCAGAGAAAGACAAATATCACATGATCTCACTTATTTGTGGACTATAATGAACACAGCAGTCTGAGGAACAGGGTAGACCCAGAGACGTGGAAGTAGGGTACAGACTGACAACCCTCAGAAGAGGGGCGGGGGGTAGGGGGAGGGAAGAGATAAACCACAGAACTTATATGCATGTATGCATAACCAATGGACATGGACAACAAAGCCAGGGATGGGGTGGGGGAAATGGGGAGGAGGGTGTCAATGGGGAAAAAAGGAGAAACATCTGTAATAAAAATAAATTAAAAAAACAAAAACAAAAACCTGTGGACAGGAGTAAGTATAATACAACCAAAAGCTTTGGTGAAGAAGAGTTTTTTTAATTTTTTATTTATGTATTTATTTATTTTTTTTACCTTACATCGATTCATGAAATGCTTTTCCCGATCTTGGAATGTTTTAAGAACTTTTAAAACAGTATCCAAGTGGTTCTCAGCACAGTATCCTAAAATAGATGTAATTCCCTAAAATCAGAAAAGATACGAGATTTGAAGTTTAGCTGTTCGCTTAGTCAACACATACTTACTGAGCCCTACTATGTGTCAGGCACCTTCTCTAGGTTCTGGGGATGCAAAAGTAAAAGACACACACCAAGCTTCTTGTCCTCGTGGCGTGTGCAACGAGGGACGTGATAGTAGATACACACAAATCTAATACATGCAAATATAGAGTATTTTGATGGTGATAAGTGCTATGGAGAAAAGAGAAACAGAAAAAGAGCACAGTTGCTGCAGGTTGGGGGAAGGGTGCAATTTATTTATTTATTTTTTTGACTTTTTTTTTAATCCTCACCTGAGGACATTCCTGCATTTATCATCAGATAAAGCGGGAGGGAGAGAGGGAGGAAGAGAGAGAGAGAGAGAAACATTGCTGTGAGAGAGACACATCGAGTGGCTGCCATCCACATGACCCCAACAGGGGCTGGGGACAAACTGCAACCGAGGTACACGCCCTTAGCGGGAACTGAACCCAGGTCTCTCTGGTCTGCGGGCCAACGCTCTAACCACCGAGCCAAACCGGCCAGGGCTGCAATTTATTTATTTATTAAATCCTTACCTGAGGATGATATGTTCATTGACTTTGGGGAGAGAGAGAGAAAATCAATGTGAGAGAAAAACATTAATTAGTTGCTTCTTGTACATGCCCCAACCTCTGACTGAACCCACAACCTAAGTATGTGCCCTGACCTGGAGTCAAACCCACGACCTTTCAGTATATGGGATGATGCTCCAATCAACTGAGCCTCACTGGCCAGGGTGGGAGTTTGCAATTTAAATAGGGTGGCCAGAGAAGGCCTCATTGACAGTGTAACATTGAGCAGAGCCTTGAAATAGTGAGCCAGTTGTTGGACTATGTGGGAAAGAGTGTTCCAAACATAGAGAATGTAAGTGCAAAGGCCCTGAGGTCCACTGAGGAGGGCTGAGTGAATAATCAAGGAAGAGAACAATTCAAGATTAGGTCAAAGAGGAGGTAGAGGTTGGTTCAAGTAGAACCTTTAAGGTAACACACAAGATTTTAGATTTTTAGTCTTAGATTGGTGGTGGTGGTGGGATTTAGCTTGAATCAGTTGACATTTTATTTATTATTATTATTTTTATAAATATGTTTTTTATTGATTTTTTTAGAGAGAGAGAAGGGAGAGAGAAATAGAAACATTGATCAGCTGCCTCCCACATGCCCCCACTGGGTATTGAGCCTGCAACCCAGGCATGTACCCTGACCGGGAATTGAACTGGGACCTCTCAGTCCATGGGACCACGTTCAGTCCACTGAGCCACACTGGCTGGGCTGATTGATATTTTAGATGGATCACTTTGTTGCTGAAATTTTATTTTATCTTAAGTGGTTAAGTTTTTGAAAGCTGGTAGCTCTGTTCCACGTTTTAAGGTTATGCTCCCCCTTACCCCCCTTCTCCCTTCTCCACCTCTCTTGCCCCAGACTGATTTCAGCACAGTACCTTCATGGTGATTTGTTCATGAATCCTGTTACATTATGCTTGGTCGCATAACCCTGCTAGAGAACCCAAGGGCCAGACCGTTGTAACCAAGGTCTCAACCGGCACTGTTCTTAGTCCTTAGATACCGGGCCGCACACCTTCCATCACCAGAAGATACTGGGACAAGTCCCTCAAAGGCTTGGAGCCCGACATCGCTGTGTTCCTTGGTCGTGGCCTAAGATGTAACCCTCTCTGTGTCTTTTGCCTTCTTTGTGTTCCCACCCCATCGTGTTCTGTGTGTCTCCTCTCCCAACCCATCTTCCTAACTGCGTATGTTCTCTCCAGCTTCCCTCTGTGCTATGACCCTCTGTCATTTAAGTCTGGAAGAACCCAAGCTCCGGAAAAATCTGGCTCTCCAACTGATCTACCACCCTGCCTACACCTGGTCTTCTGAATGCTGCTGAGAAACAGGTGACACCACAGAGACAATCGGTGGCAGCAGAAGAGGACTGCCACCCCAGCGGGGCCCCCAGATCTGCACAGATGCCCCACTGTCTTCCCACAGTCCGCCCTCTCTCTCCAGTTCCTCAGAGAAGCAATCTCAATCTCAAATCTTCTCTTCCTCTGAAACTGCTCGCCACACACTCTCAGGAATAGAAGGTTCGAGAAGTGTTTTATTTTCCCCAAGGGGTATAGATAGTATATTAAAGCCAAGATTTGAATCCAGCTAGTCTGACACCACAATCTGAGCTCTGTCGTTATGTGAGTGAGAGTCGTGCTCGGGAGACAGAAAGTCAACAGGTTCATATCATTAAGAAAGTTGTGTGTTGCCCTGGCCGATTGGCTCAGCGGTTAGAGCGTTGGCCTGTGGTCCAGAGAGACCTGGGTTTGGTTCCTGCTAAGGGCGTGTACCTCGGTTGCAGTTTGTCCCCTGCCCTGGTTGGGTCGTGCAGGTGGCAATTACTCGATGTGTCCCTTTCATGTTGATGTTTCTCTCTCTCTCCCTCCCACTCTATCTGAACAAAAAATGGAAAAATGTCCTCGGATGAAGATTAAAAAAAAGAAAAAGAGAAAAAAAGAAAAAGAAAGTTGTGTGTTAACACCTTATCCATTCAGAGATCATTTACTAAGCAACTCAAATGTGTGAGACACACTCAACAACTTGCAGTGAATTAAAAAAGGAATTTAAGAAGCTCAGATGGATGTCACAAACTTTGTAAATCCTCAGACCTTGAATGAGAGCCTTATTGTATGCTAACATCCAAAATAAACTTACTTTACTTCCTAGCTTATAGAGAACTGCAAAGGCAACTAGGGAAGGGAAAATGGTGTGAGAAATAATACCGAGAGCAATAATGGATGACTGGACACCTGACAATGACAAAAAAAATAACAGCAAGACAAAAAAGCAGTTTAAAAAGTTTAGTAAGTCTAGTGGTATCCGGACATTTAATATGGGAGAAGGAACCTTAAACATCTTGGAATTAATGAGGAGAGTATATGACACAGCCCAATAGTTATTTTATTATTTTATTTTTTTAAATTTAACTTTATTTATTTTTTATTGCACAGATAGAATGGGAGGGAGAGAGAGGAAGAGAGAGCGAGAGAGAGAAACATCGACGTGAAAGAGACACATCGAGTGGCTGCCACCCGCACGACCAACCAGGGCCGGGGACAAACTGCAACCGAGGTACATGCCCTTAGCAGGAACCGAACGCGGGTCTCTCCGGACCGCAGGCCAACGCTCCAACCGCTGAGCCAAACCGGCCAGGGCCCAATAGTTATTTTATACCAGGTAGTCCTTATTAACCTGGGTAGTTGTTTTTTTGTTTTGTTTTGTTTTGTTTTTAAAATCCATACTCTTCTCCTTCCTCCACATTCGTATATGCTCTCCAGCCTAGGCTAGGGTAGGGAATATGTACAAGTGCTTTGCAAAACCACTCCTGGTTATACTTATAGTTTCTCTAGGTTGAAAACCATTAGTATATACGGTTATTTTCAGCTTCTAAATTCAATGATTTTGATGTTTATGATCATACTCAAGTTATAAAGCCACTGTCAAAACATATCGAAGATACTCTTGTTAAGTAAGAATGATTAAAATTCAATTTGCAATATTTCAGAAACCTGGTTAAATAATGAAGCACTGACATTTAAACAGAAATGTGTTATTTTCCTGAAAAATTCTGTTGGGATATTCTGAATCTATTCATGGATAATTCTGGGTAAGTAAGACATTATTATAAGACCGTCAGAAGTTTTCTGGATGGAATGAATCAGATTGTCAGGAGAGAAGATTTAGAGAAAGGGGTCCCACCTGTCGTTGATCCCCCAGTTGGCTGGGAGCGATCAGAAACTCCTTTATCTGTGAGCTTACGAAGTTTGCGTCTTGGCAGGATGCTAAGGTGGTTCCCAAGGCTTTCCAAAGGAATTTCTGGAACACAGAGGACAAGAACGTTGAAGGTTGGAAAGCAAGACTTTGATGACTTTACACACTTTATCCCATTGAACCCTCATAACACCACAGCCCTCAGAGGTGGGCATCATCTCCATTTCATTGGCAGGGTACTGAGGCTCCAGAGAGGTTAAGTCAAACACCTAAAGCTACAAAAGTACTAAGTAGCAGGAAGTGGATTCGGACATTGAGGACGGTTAGGCAGAGGCCTGCGGAGGCAGGGAAAGAAAGAATTGGACTTTGAGCATTCTTTTAGCTCCAAGTTTTTGTTAAACTGTAGTAGATTTTTTTTTTTTTTTTTCCTGGTCGCCAGCCTCACACAACTGGCCCAGTGGAAACCAAGACACGAGCTACGAGCTAAGTGCTCGGGCTGGGCTGCTGGCCTTCCAGCATTCATTCTTCCTCTTCTCTGGAACACACCCTCTGCCTCTCATCTGTCTTGAAGCTACTGTGCTTCTCAGTTTTCCTGGAAGACAGCTGCGGCCCTGCGAGTAACTTTTGGTCAAATGTGGGGTGAAAAGAAGGTAGCATTTTCCTAACAATGCCTCCCTTTTTTTGATTGCAGGACAGACACATTGGAACTTGAGTGACGATTTCACATCATAAGGTAGAGCTAAGGTCCTTCAGCTGGACACCAACCTTCTCTTTTTCTTTTTATTAATTTTTATTTCTTTATTGATTTTTAGAGAGAAAGGAAGGGAGAGGGAGAGAGAGATAGAAACATCGATGAGAGAGAACATCGACTGTCTGCCTCCCGCATGCCCCAAATTGGGGATTGGGCCCACAACCTGGGCATGTGCCCTAGCCGGGAATCGAACTGGTGACCTCTTGGTGCAGGGTCGATGCTCAATGACTGAGCCACACCGGCGGGTCGGACACCAACCTTCTCAATGGAGGTGTTGCTGTAACTGCCCATTTGCTGGTTGAAATCGCGACTCAGCTGAATGGTCCAGGCTACGTCACTGATCTTCCATAAAGACTCTTTGAGCAACTGCGGTAGGAAGTGGAAGTCAGATGTGCATGTGACTGGTCAGTGTGCATTCTTGGTACTTTTCTGTTACCTTATTTTTCAAAAGTATAAATACATATTAAATGGGATTATTCTGTTTCCCATGAAAAAACTAGTTAGTTTGGAACTTTGCATCTTATTTTATTTTAAAAGCCATATTCTGTTATGTTATAAATTCCTATTAGAAATAAGTTACACAGAATGTGGAAGTAACTCCAGCTAAGCACCTTGCTTTTTCTTCTTAAATAAAAAATTGCTTAAAGACTTAAAAGAAAGTAATCTATCCTGAAACTTAAATTGAAGTCAATGTTTTTCAAGTTGTGAATAGAGTTGGACAAACTCTATTCGTCAATATTAGTTTGCTTTATTATATATTAAAAAAAGGATCTCTTTAGAATAAAGAAATAAATGTCTTTATATTATATTTACTGGCACCTTTTGCTAACTTCAACTCGAGTAGCTAAATACTCCTAGTTTCACCAATTGTTCCGAGCCAAGGCCACAACCAGTCATCTAAACCCACGTTCTTCACTGAACAATACATAAAAAGGTGTTTTGTCTTTTTGGAGGACAAAAATCCGTTGTAATTTCTAAAATCGATTATTTTTTCTACATTTTCTCTACTTTAAGTCTAGAAAAGAACACAATGTCAAAGCCAATGGAAAAAATCTGTATGTGTTTTCTTAACAGAAAATCATTCAGTAAGTGGGTCCTTAGAAGAGAGAGAGAGAGAAAAACCAGCCTTGGATGTTTAAGGGAAGAATGCACACACAAACAGTTTTGGAAGAAGGCTACAAGCATGCTCAAGGTTGGGAGAGGGAAAGACACTGTTCTCGGCTTCTCTCTGGAGAAAGAACCTCCTTCCTGGTAAGGACAGTTGTCGTGAAGTGGTGGCAAGGGGACATAGCATAGGGATTTGGTGGGTGATCAATGACACGTGAATAAGGAGAAGAGGTAGGTCCTAGAATTAAGGACTAGGAGTGTAGACAGTGGCTTCACATCTCATGTTGGGTAAGAATCACTTTGGGAATCTTTACAGCATGTCAATTCTCAAGTAAGAGCCTCAGAGAGTCTGATTCTGTCGGGGGGGGGGGGAGGTGTGATGAGAGGCGGAGGCGCTGTGGAGAGGTCAAGGAACATTGACATTGTGGAAGAAGCCATGTATCAGTTACAAAATAGCCACAGACTGTAAAGTACAGCATGGGGAATATAGTAAATAATACTGTGAGAACTATGTATGGTGTCAGGTGGATACTGGAAATGTTAGGGGGATCACTTCGCAAAGTATATGATTGTCTTAACTTCTATGTTGTACACTTGACACCAACATAAAATAATACTGAAAGTGAACTGTAATTTTTTTTTTTAATCCTCACCCAAGGATATTTTTCTGTTTATCTTCAGATAGGTGGGAGGGTGAGAAAGGGAGAGAGAGAGAAACATTGACGTGAGAGGGTCACATCAACTGGTTGCCTCCTGTACAACCCGACCAGGGCCAGGGACGAACTGAAACTGAGGTATGAGCCCTTGGCTGGAATCGAACCCATTACTCATTGGTCTGCAGGCCGACATTCTAACCACTGAGCAAAACTGGCCAGGGCGAACGTGAACTGTATTTTTTAAAAAATCAAAAAAATAAAAGAAACCATATGTGAGTCCTCTGTAGGTACTTTATGAACTGAAACCCTATTAGGTTAAAAGCTCCCTGCTCATAGGCTCCTTGTCCTCCTGGGGGCTCCTGAAATTAAAATCCTCCCTGTAAATCCAGTGTACCACTCTTGTCTGCAATTTGCCATTTTGGGAATTTGGCATCATTTGGGGCATGAAAGGAGGAGATTCTTGACCCCAGGGGGTTCCAACACAGCAGCAGCAGGACTGGAGTGCGGGCGAGAGTGTGAGTGGGTGAGACGTGTGCATGGGTGTGAGTGTGGGTGGGTGAGACGTGTGCATGGGTGTGAGTGTAGGTGGGTGAGACGTGTGAGACGTGTTCATGGGTGTGAGTGTGGGTGGGTTAGACGTGTGAGACGTGTGCATGGGTGTGAGTGTGGGTGGGTGAGACGTGTGCATGGGTGTGAGTGTGGGTGGGTGAGACGTGTGAGACGTGTGCATGGGTGTGAGTGTGGGTGGGTGAGACGTGTGCATGGGTGTGAGTGTGGGTGGGTGAGACGTGTGAGACGTGTGCATGGGTGTGAGTGTGGGTGGGTGAGACGTGTGAGACGTGTGCATGGGTGTGAGTGTGTGAGACGTGTGCATGGGTGTGAGTGTGGGTGGGTGGGACGTGTGAGGGCGTGTGCATGGGTGTGAGTGGGTGAGATGTGTGCATGGGTGTGAGTGTGGGTGGGTGAGACGTGTGAGGCGTGTGCATGGGTGTGAGTGTGGGTGGGCCGCTGCCCTGGGAGGGGGAACTCAGGGTGGGCTGCTCCAGGCTGAGGGCGCTTCCAGTAGCAGAAGCTGCTCCATGGCTGAGTGTTTCTCCCTGCCGGGACTCAGAGTGCACCGGTTGGGAGGATAAATAGGGTCCTTCTTGAGAGGAGGCTGCAGGGAACGGCAGGGACTCAGTGCCCAGAGGTCACAGGTGGACACACTTAGCCCCACTGGCTCTCCCCCAGCAGCAGAGGGCCCTGCTGCCCCCGCGGGACCCGCCAGCACCAGAAAGCTACCAGCCCTGTTGGAGCCACAAGCTGCTGGTACCGTAGGACCCCCCCTCACCCCCAGCGGAGAGTCGCTGTCCTACCGGCCACCACCGCGGCAATGAGTCACTCGCCCACTGCCACCACTGAGAGCTGCTAGTGCTCCGGTACCCGGACCGGATCTGACATCCGTGCGCACAACCCGCCGTGACCCAGCGCCCTGGACGCACCGACCTGCTCCCGCGACCCTGCCTGCCCCACCTGGCCCCGGACCACCGGACCCATAAAATGGTGAGACAAAGAAACACCCCCCCAAAGAAAGAAAAGGAGGGATCATCAGGAAAGGAACTAAAGGAAATGGAGGCAAGCAGTCAGTCAGATAAGAATTCAAAGTAATGGGTATAAGGATGTTCAAACAACTTAGTCTGAATTACAAGCAATTCAATGAGAATTATAAAGAACTTAGTGGAAACTACATAGATACTTCTCCAAAGAGAACATACAAATGGCCAAGAAACATGAAAAAATGCTCAACATCACTAATCACCAGAGAGATGCAAATTAAAACGACTATGAGGTATCACCTCACACCTGTCAGAATGGCCGCCATCAACAAATCCTCAAACAACAAGTGTTGGCGAGGGTGGGGAGAAAAGGGGAATCTAGTGCACTGCTGGTGGGAATGCAGACTGGTGCAGCCACTATGGAAAACAACATGGTGTTACTTCAAAAAGTTAAAAATTGAACTTTTATTTGGCCCAGTGATTCCACTTCTAGGAATATATCCTAAGAAGCCTAAAACGTCAATCAGAAAAAATACATGTATTTCTATGTTCATAGCAGCACTATTTACAATTGCTAAGATCTGGAAACAGCCCAAGTGTCCATCAGTAGATGAGTGGATAAAAAAGCAGTGGTACATATACACAATGGAATACTATGCAGCTGTAAGAAAGAAATATCTCTTACCCTTTGAGACGACATGGAGGAAACTGGAGACTATTATGCTAAGTGAAATAAGTCAGTCAGAGAAAAGACAAGTAGCACATGATTTCACTTATTTGTGGACTCTAATGAGCAAAATAAACTGACAAACAAAATAGATCCAGAGACATGGAGTAGACTGACACACCTCAGAGGGAGGGGGATAGGGGGATTGGAAGAGATAAACCGAAGAACTGATATGCATATGTACATAACCAGGGGACACAGACAATAGTGTGGGGAAGGCAGGAGGGGGGCAGGAACAGGGAGAAGGGGGTCAATGGGAGAAAAAAGGAGGGACATCTGTAATACTTTCAACAACAAAGAAAAATTAAAAATTAATTAATTGATTGATTAAAAGAAGAAGATTCTTTTCTGAGAAAGGAGTACAATGTGGCCCTTTGGTTTCAGAAACCAGGAAGAAGACAGTGAGAAGCACATGGAGGAGAAAGTGGAGTTGTCTTTGGGAGCACAGCAGTGAAACTATGTTCGTCTATATTTCTTTATACGAATGGCAAAGGAATGTGACTGCAAGGAGAGAGAAAGACCACCCTGAAAATTGGAGAAGATTTAAGACCCAGTAAAATATATTAGTAAGTAAAATATTCAAAACTCTTAAACTTGTAAACAACTTGGCGACTAAAAATTGTTGCTCAAATTACGGCGATTTGAAGAGCACAATTCGTAAGCGATCACTTCTAACATTCTCGTCCTTGTCCTAAGAGAAGGACATGTTGCTGCCCTCCGGAATCCAGTTCGTTTTAGCTGGGGCGGTAACCAGCTGACTTCACCACCCGTCACAGCAGTGAGTCTGCGTACCTGGAGCAGCATCGTTTCCCACAGCGTGATGCCAGCGTTCTTTCCTAGGAGAAGAAAGTAATGCGGTAACTGCCCCCCAGGTCAAGACTCAGTTTCTCCCAGCAAGGCCCCCAGGGGGTGCTGCGGTTCCATTTCCAGTTTTGTCTTTACACAGGATGGTTACTGCAGATGAAATTTACCGTGTCACCTAGTCAGGTGGGCAGAGGGTCTTCCATCCCTGATAAAATCTAGGCGTTTTGCTCATTTCAGCTGTAACCACTGAAATGGCCATATTTCAATATTCTTACATGGGTGAGTAACAACTTTTAGAACAAAACCAAAAGAGAGTTCATCTAAGTACAAGTAAAAGACCAGGGCAAAAGTAAAAGTTTCCTGCTAAGGATGCTACCCGCCTGGTCCTCTCGTAGTACAAGTGTTCGGCAGAGAAACAGAACACGATCAACCAAGAGAAGGAACGGTGCTGTCCACCTTGCACAGGGTCATTGCTTTCACTGCCTAAACCACAGCGGCGGCTTTAGAGGCAGAAGTGACGCCTCATTTCCTTGCGTTTTCACCTCCTTGGACAAAGACCTCATCCCACTCCCTTGTACCTTCCAGAGGCTGCAGGAGCTCGGGTAAGCGTGTTTTCCACAGGTTTACCAATTTGGGGTGAATTATTTCAGGCAATATCTTCAAAAGTCCTATCGCACCAACCCCACATAATTTCCCTAAACTGGCAAGCATAGACACCACCTGAAAGATAGAAAATGCTGGTCAGCGCAGGGCTATTTAAAGGGCCACCTACCTTTTCCTTTTTACTATTGTCCTGGATTCCTTTGATTCCTACGTTAGTTAAACTTTTAATAAATCATCACCGTCTGCTCTCACTTCTCCTAGGGCAGAAATCAGTGAGAGGTACCAACACTTAGATCTATTTATTAATTAAATAAGGGCATGTCGAAAGTAAATAAACGATGCTTATGGGGCAAAGAAGGGAATGCAATCTACGCAATGGATGTGGAAGTGGTTTGAAAGGTACTTAGGGACCCACTTTAGTCTATGCTTATTTTAAAATCATAAAGTTGAACAAGCATTCCAGAGTGAGAAGATAAAATGAATAGCCAAATAAAATTTCATGAGTATCATTTCTATAGCAGAACATTTGTTCCGCCTTTAGTGTTTCTTTGGTTTGGAGTATCGACGTAATGTTTATTAGTATTTATTTGGAACTGAGTTTACCAATACCGGCTCCCATTTGTCCCACTCTGGTTTTTTTTTGCAATTCACTCACCAGAAGTCTGGCCAGGAGCTGCTGTGGTGAAGGAAGTTTCACTAGAAAGACAAAGCAATTTTCGTTATCGCTGTGGGGGCTAGAAAATTTCAGATTGGGGTTGGGTAGGTGATCAAAGCCCTGTAGCCTTTCTGGAAATGAGTCTCAGGTAAGAGAAATGTTTTACTTTGTTTTTGAATGTACAAACCAGCTCCCGTGGAGATGACAAGGGCTGTTGACTCTGGGGCGTTATTTTTCCTTCTCTCTTCTGCCATAATCAGAATTCTGATGATGTTGAACAGGCAGTCCAGAGTCCCCGTATATTCTGCAGGTACCACGAAGGTCAGGATTCGCGGCCATAGCACCTGTGGGAAACATGGGCCAAGATGCAAGGACGGGTTATTCTCTTCCGTTGTTTCTCCTTGGTCCTCACTGATTTAGAAAACATTCCCCCATTTATTATTTTGCTCTTCAGGACAAATCACATCAAACTAAATCTCTGCACAGCACGCTCGTGTTCAGCCGCCGGTTGCAGTGAGCGTCGGTCGGTGTCCCTCCACGGGCTGCTGCTGGCGTCTGGGCCACGACGGTGGAGTCTTCATTGCGAGGAAGTGCTCGCATATCTGGGCTCCCCACTCAAGTGCCCCCATCTAGGAAAGCCACCAAATTGGTCTTCGATGGTCTCCCGGCTGTGCCATGTATTTCTAGCCGCTATATCCTTTCTCTGCTCATTTAGCTTAAGGGAAATGCAGAATCCAGCTCTCCTCCCCGAGGTTCGGATGGTGTTAGGCGTCCAGTGAGGCCGGAGAGGGTGTGCTTCCAACACCTCCCCAGGTGAAGGGGGATGTTAGCATTCACTGCGTGTGAACCCCCATTCGCTACTTAACAGCGTGTCTGAGTATGTTAGGGGAAGAAGAGAAAGAATGTATTAAGTACTTATCAGCTGTCATTTGCTCTCCAGATATAAGAGGTTACTTCCTTACTTAATTCTATACCTGTCTTCGTGGAACTACTCTGTGCTGGGCACTGAGCATCACAACACCTCTGTCTAGTCAGAGCATCAACACTGTGATGACACCTGGCGTACAAACTCGCATCTGGACTCCTAACTGGGCAGCACTTTAGAAAGGCCATCGGAGTAATTCAAAGTGGCGACAAAGCCCCCTTACCTGAGGCATCCCCGTGACCAGAGGGTCCAGCGTTTTTAAGACCTCCAGGCTTGTTGCTCGGACAGATTGCTCTCCCTTTTCATCCTTGTGGGAGTTAGGTTTCGCTGACTTCTCCTTCAAGAAACACGAAACAGGTGACTTGTGAACAATCCCTCCCATGGGTCCCCCCGACTGCACTGGCTGTGTGCTCAGACCGGGGGGAGAATGCAGTCACGCAGCTGGAGGGGCTCATGGAGCCAGTGTGGGCGGATTCAGCATCTCATTCCTGTTTAAAATGCTTCTAGGAGGGATGGGCTAGAAAAAACACCCCCGGCTGAAGCAGAGAAGCACAAATGACGAGGACCCTGGAACTGCAGAACCTCCCTCCTCTCAGACCTTGGCCGTTTTCTCTGGGACAACGCATTTCAAAGACAAGGCTCCCTAGCCCAGCGACTGCAGTTTCAGCGGCAAACTTGCAAAGATCACTGGGATCTGACGCAGATGCTTTTCCAGCTGCCCATGCGAAGGACGCCCACCCCAGGGCAGCAAGTAGCGTCTCTTCCTTTCTCTAACAATTCATTCTCTTGCCTCTCTCCACACCACCCCCAGGCCTCAGAGGTCAGGTGGCCTCCTCCACAGGGAAAACTCTGATTTCATTACCTCCTGTTTCATGTAAGTGAGACGCCATATCAGCGAAAGGAAACAGGTAACGCTAGAGGCTGAAAAACTTGTCAATAGCAGCGATGAGAGAAATACAACTGCTAAACCAGTTACTGAGTCGAACCCCAGGCATTTCTTTTAAAACCCACTTGAGGCAATTGGACTTGTCTTAGGGCAGCACTCAAAACGGTACCCTCCTCCTACCAGGTTCCTGTTGGACATTACAAACTGGGAGAAGACGTAATTGATCAGTGGCCATCCTTCCTGGGCTTCAATGTAGCATTTTTCACACATGGTTTGGATGAGGAGGAGGGTGGAATTTCTTACCTAGAGTAAGAGAAATGCATTTGCCACATTTTGCTATGTTGGAAAAAATGGAAATTTCGTTTCTTCTATTCTTTAACCTTCATGGATTATACAGCAGGATTTTTTTTTTTTTTTTTTTAAGAGTCTAAATTGAATGTTACCATAAGAGACGGAGCAGGAAGTAATTTATAGGTTGCGATTAAAAGGTCATCAGTGAAAGGTTGCACATTGAAGTCAAGTTCCACAATTCCTTATTCACAAATTGAACATCCAAACCACTCGGAAAATTGGTCTTTGTTTTTTAAATTTGGTGCCAACTCATTAGTGGCAAAACCCAAACTGAACTGTTTTAAAGCAATTTGCAGTCTTTACTTATTTTATACAGTGTGGATATCCGTACGTTTTCCTGCAGAAAAATGAATGGTTCTGACTGTGGGCTATTGGCATGGTAATGTTTCCTTAAATCTGAAAATTCTGAATTCTGAAATATGTCTGGCCTTAGGGATTGGAACAGGAGATTATGAACTTGTGTTAAAATTTTTTAATAATTTGGCTTCATTATTTTATTGGATTGCTTCCCTGGAGGATAGAAAGCTCAGATCTAATTCCTTAGTGAATGGGTCTTTTAATGGAGGATGGGAAGACAAGGCTAATTCGGAACAGGGAGGCAGAGCTAGCTACATGGTGGCAATTAGCAGAAAGGTCACTCCGTAGTCTCCCCAAGTGAAGGAAAAAGAGGTACGTGCACCTTCTCTCTGCTTTCACCCGAGGAGCTGGCCTTCCTTAAAGTTTCTGTGCCCTTTTTTCCTATCCTAAAATCTTCTGGTAATTCTTTAATTGACTTGGCCAATTACTGGGTCAGGTTTTTCTATATAATCACTCCATTGTTATTTATTGCAGAACCGTTTTTTTTTATCCTCACCGAAGGACATTTTTGTATTTATCTTCAGATAGAGCGGGAGGAAGAGAGGGAGAAAGAGAGAGAGAGAGAAACATCAATGAGAGAGACACACATTGACTGGTTGCCACCCACATGACCCCAACCTGGGCGGGGACAAACTGCAACCGAGGTACATGCCCTTAGTGGGAACTGAACCCCGGACTGTCTGGTCCACGGGCCGACGCTCTAACTGCTGAGCCAAACCGGCCAGAGCCGTAACTTTTATTTCAAACACAGTTACAGTCAATTAAAACTTCTTAGGGGAGTTTTCTCTTCTTCATTGGCTTTTATATAGGGCTTTGATCCAAATAAAATGTGGTTATCACAAAAAATACAACTGCTCATTTTTAAAGATTTGTGTTAGCCTAAGTTCTATATCTTTCCTAACATGCAGTGCTGTGATAAAAAAAAAAAAAAAGTCTAGAAATATTGAGCAATCTATTTAGTGCAAGACTTGCTCTGGGTACTCGCTGCTTGGAAAGCAGAATACCTATGTACAGAACAAGGTTCAGGGGACATTATTTTTTGGATGAAGATATATTATATTTATAATTAACAGTTTATTTTTAAACCTTCTATTTGAAGAGGATGGGCCAGTGATACTTTGTGCAAATTCTCTGTTTCTGCTGAGAAGCCCTTGAACTGATTATAGTTTAGAACTCTATCTTGATTTGGTATGTCTTTTGGGGAAAAATGGAGTTCTTTTAAAAAGAGAATTGATCAGAGTTCTTTATAAAACAATCTCATAAGTAAATCCTTAAACACTCAAACTGTTTTGTTTATTCCTAAAACTACCACCAACCAAATTAAAGTCCCCATTAATTCTCTTACTTTTATGCTGAGGTCACCCATGACAGCTTTGACTGTTCTTTCTATTGAAGTAATGTGATCCCTCAGGTTGGGCTCTGAAAGACGGAGGAGAGATTGAGACGCATGACTCAGTAGGAGGACAGTACGTTCTAGGATTGGTGGAAACCTGGTGAGAGTTGTAGTACATACTTGCAAAGTACATATTTAACATTTTATGTTATTCACTTCCCTCCTAGCTGCTGCTTCTCCAAGTCTTTAAAGATGTTGATTGCTTTCTTTGCTCCCTATTCTATTTGGTTTCACCTTGTTTGAAATTAAGTCAGAGTCCAAAGTGAATCCAACACATCACACCCAAAGGATCAGCTTTAAATTTTGTGAAACTGCTTCATATTTCTTGTTTGATTTTCAGTAAATCCCAGTGATAACGGAATTTTAAAACCCAATATGATATAGTACAGAAATAAATGATCATATTTTATTAATCCAAGTTATCATCAACTTTATGAGGCACCATTATTTTTATATTGCATCAAAAAAGAAAAACTATAGTGGCTAAGTACAATTTAAAATGCTGTCAATTATAAGGTATATTCCAATATCATGAAAATATGTGCTTCTTGGAATTAATAAAATACGATAGTTTGTTAAATTCTGCTCTTTAATAAATGTACTAATCTCTGGAATACTATGCATTCTTCTCACCCACCACTTTTTATTGGGCTACCTAACCAGCTTACTAGATCTTCTAAATCCTAAATTCAATTCCCAAATATTCTACTCATCCTTCTCAACTCAGTGCATCCATAAATATATATAATAGAGGTACCTGTAAATGCCTGGTTAAAATTAGTAGATTGTAGACAAGTAAGAAGACAGAGCTTTACCTGAACATAATGTTCCATAAACATCCCAAGGTCGTTGGCTAGGGTTAGGGCCTTCCTGGTACAAAATAAACCGCTCCGGCTTCATCCCTATTGCTTACCTTCAGCACTGATAGCCAGTCTCAGCAAGGTCAAGATCCCCCTTCGAGTGGCTTCATTATTACTTCTTATTTGTTCATCAAAAAAGTCTATCAGGTCTGCAGGGTCGGAGTGGGCTGCAGGTTTAAGAAATGCTGGCATCATAAGAACTCATTTTCCCCTGGAGTCAAGTGTTTGTGGATGGAAAGAGGGGAACTCTGTGAGGGTTGTCAAAGACACTCAGGTTGGTGGTCAGATTTTATTATGTTCTTGCTTCCTTAGTATCACAGAATTAATTAAACAGTTTGACCGGTTAGAGAGAAACTTCGATCGGTTGCCTTCCTGGAGTCGAACCCTGCAACTCTTCTGTGCTCTGGACACTCCAACCAACAGCCACACCCCCTAGGGCATGGCAGTGAGTTTTTAGATTTGACATCAAAAGCAGAGGTAATAAAAGCAAAAATAAAAGAATGGGACTACATTAAACTAAAAAGCTTCAGCTCAGCATGGGAAACCATCAACAAAAGGAAAAGGCAATGTATGAAATGGGAAAAAGTAATGACGTGCCCGATAAAGGGTTACTATCCAAAGCATCCCTGGGACTTCTCTGGTTTTAGAACAGAAAGTTTTATTTCCTGGGATGATTGGTGACAGTTTGCACACCCGACGCCATTGCCGTCACCATCACTTGGGGACATTTTTATTAAAAACCCTCTGGGTGTTGGTCCTACCTAGAATGAGGAAGCAGCTGGAAGCTTCCATTTCATTTTCCTTTACCGGAGGCTCCGGGACTCTGCACACCTGAGCGAGGAGGGAGAGGCGGCGGCAGAGGTTACACACAGGGAACTCGTGCCGACGAATCCATCAGACTGGGCAGCACGGGCTTCTTACCTGGTGGAGTAAATTGACGAAGATGCTTCTTTTCAAGGCCTTTGGAAGGTCAGTGTCATAGAGGATGGCCGCAGTCAGGATTTGTTTCAGGCTCTAGAATCAAAGGTCAGTTGGAGGTCACCCGGGAAGCAGCAAGCGCAGATGTGGGAGGCAAACCCACAACCCTCCTGCAGTTCCCAGTTTTTTCCTGTGTTTGTTTGTGTTATTCTACCTCGTTCACTGCTTCAGCAGCTTGAAAATATACTTTCCTATTCCCTCTCTGGGGTTTCCCCCACCCAGCTGTGCCAGCCTCTTGCCACCTCACATCTCCCAAGCGGTACTGAAGCCCAGCTGCCCAAACAGGTATTTGAGGCCCTTAGGCACCCTCGAGCCGTGGGCGAGGCTGGTTGCCAGGGGACTCCCTGGACCAGTTCCTGGAGGGCGTGGCTCTTACCTGTGTGACATGGAAATCGATCTCTCTGTCTTTATACTGGTTCAGCAGCCAGGGCACCTGGCCCAGGGCATATTCACAGAGGTCTTCTCGATGGAGCAGCAGGCTCACGGTGGGGCCGTGGGCCTTGACGATGGACACAGTCTGCAGAGGCAGCCAAGAAATAGCCCTTCTGGTTCTTCGCTAGGCTTTCCGTACGTTTCTCAGAACACCAGCGGACGTGGACCCCAGCCCGTCCCCACTGCTTCCAACTCAGAACTGTTTCTTACCAACTCAAAAATGTTTCCGATCATCGCACGAGGCCAGGGTATTTATATTTGTGCTTATACCGATTCTCATTCCAAGACTTGCCCCCTCTTATTTCTTTAGCCCCTATTAGTCACTTTCTTTCACGATGTTACCAAATTAAAAATTTCTCTCATATGAAAAAATTCTTCCATTGCACATGACTTTGACCTTCTATCGTCCTCACCCTCACCCAGGTCTGTTCCTCTTCAAACAGCAGAAGGAGCGGTTTACATCTGCTATTTCCTCTTCCCTCCTCCAAGTTACCCCGCAGCCCACCATCATCGGGCGTCCACTGACATCAAGAATGAACAAGTATAAAATATACTGTCACATGTGTTCTTATAAATGTTTAGAAATCCTCAAAATTATGATGAAGAAAACATTGTACCCACGGTACTCGTAGGTAATCACAGGTTGGTATATTTTTAATATGCTCTTTATTTGACTTTTAAAAAATATTTTTTCTGTGGATTTAAATTTATAAAAAATTGCCTGGCTGGTGTGGCTCAGTGGTTGAGCATTGACCCATGTACTGAGAAGTTGCTGGTTCGATTCCCGGTCAGGGCACATGCCCAGGTTGTGGGCCAAATCCCCAGTGGGGGTTGTGCAGGAGGCGGCCAATCGATGTTCTTTCTCATCGATGTTTCTATTTCTCCCTCTCCCTTCCTCTCTCTCTAAAATCAATAAAGAAAAAAATAAATTTATAAAAAATTGACATCATTCTTTAATATATAGTCCTCTTTTATTTTTACTACCTATTATTATATGACAAACTGCTTTCTATTAGCTAAATTATGCTGTACAGAAAACCACCTCAAATCTCTATGGTAAATAACAACGGCCCTTTATTTCACTCAAGACTGTGTATCAGCTAGAAGGTTCTTTGAGCGCATTTCTGTAAAACAAATAGTTTTCAGGATTTTTCTTGCTCGAACACTATGCCAGTGGATTCTAGATCTCTCTGCTTCTTTAAAAGCCCTCATCCCACTGGTTCTTCCACTCCTTGCACACTACATGCACACTACATTCTCAGCGCTCCACCATGAGCTCTTCCTTTGCTTTCCCTTAAACACCGACCCCCCACCCCAAACCCTCACATCGGCACGTTTCCATTCTACATACTCTTTCTTAAAATCTTATATTTGCCCTGGCCAGTTCGGCTCAGTGGTTAGAGCGTCGGCCCATGGACCAGAAAGTCCTGGGTTCGGTTCCCACTGGGGGCACGTACCTTGGTTTGTCCCTGGCTCTAGTTGGGGTCGTGTGGGTGGCAACCACTCGATGTGCCTCTCTCAGGTCAATGTTTCTCTCTCTCTCCCTCCCACTCTATCTGAAGATAAATGCAAAAATGTCCTCAGGTGAGGACAAAAAAAATAAAATAAAATCTTATTTTTTGATTGCAGTTTGAATTCAACACTATTTTGCATAGTTTCAGGTGTACAGCACAGTGGGTAGACATTCATTACAGGTTCCTAAGTGTTCCCTCTGGTAATTCAGTACACATTCTTCGTGAGCAGCCGTATCCACAACCATTAATCCAGGTGTCGATTACATGAAGCTGATATCCAAAGCTGTGTGTCATCTTTGCTTTCCTTCTTAACACCAACCCTAGATATCCCCAAACCTATTAATATCTCCACTTCGCTGTCCCATAGGCCTTCTGGTCAAAATGTCTAAAATTAAACTCATTTTTCTTATTGCCCCAAATGTGTTACTCCTCCTGTTTTTCTCATCTTGATTAATAGCCATAAAATCATTCAGGTTGGAAATCTAAGAATCACCCCAGATGCCTCTACTTCCCTCTTTATAACTAACACCTCATCGATGCCAAGTCCTGTGACCCCATTTTTCAGCACGAGACTCCTTTGGTCTGTGTTACCGATACTGAATCAATACTGAATCAATCGATCCCCTTAGCGTTCACAGCCTGGCATGTCTCTATAGCCTGCTGATAGTCTTGTGTTACTCCACCCTACACTCCATCCATCTTCAGCATTGATGCTAGAATGATTTCTCTGGTACTCACACCCTTGTTTAATATTCTTTAAAAGTGTCTCACTTCTTAAAAAAAAAAAGTACACATTCTTGAGTAGCACTCAAGGCTCTTCCTTATGTGGCTGAAACCTTTCTAGTTTCATTTCTTTTTGCTCTGTACCCCCTCTCCCCTGTCCCCTTCACCTCCCAGCAGACTCACTCAAGTGTGCATGTAACCCCATCTCCGACCCATGCTACAGGAGGCTTTATCCTCTCTTTGGGGAATGCACCTTCCCTGGAGTAAATGACTCCAGGGTTAAACGCTCAGTTCCAATGTCACAGCATTTCCAGTGCTTCTCACAGGAGTCAAGGGCTTCTGTCTCTGCTTCCCTGTTACTTTATGAACCTTCTTGTCACTTGCCTAACTCTCCTGATGGGAAGCTAGGAAAGCAGTCATCAAATTTGTATTGAATTTTTTTTCCAGATGTCTTGAAGAAAAGACTTCTATAGGATAATTCTAAAATTCCACTGCTAATGATTTAACTAACCCAGCGTGTTAAAAGGAAAATGCCTTAGTAGCTTGAATTTTAGAAAAGAAACTGAACTAGAGAAGGTAGCTAAGTGTTAAATCTTTTATGATACAGCACTAGGAGATGAAATAGCATATCATTTAACCTATTTAAAAAATTATAGCACTTAAGCAAGCTAAGGATGGGATTATATATGCACTGGGTGAGCTATTGTCTATAAAGAATTACAGTATTTTGAAGTAGCTGAGCAAACTTTTTAGAAGTTATTTTATTTCACTGTGATACCCACACACGGGAAATTTCTGTGGACTGTTGTTTTTCCTAACCAGCGACAGCCCAAATATGGGTTATGATGTATAAGACATGAAATAGCTAACATTCCATGTGTTCTTTTCATTTCATCTCATCTACTGTTCTCCACACACACTGGAATGTCAGCAGGGATTCTGGGGTTTAATCTCTGCTGTACCCAGTGTGTGGAACAATGTCTGCATGTTCTGAGGCCTCAATGAATGTTAGTTGAAATTCAGAATGAATAAGTACTGATTTGAAATTTAAAAGAAGAAGAAGGTTTGATACACCTGATATAAAACACAACTCCCAGAAACTGAGATTAGCGATCACGTGAAAAGAGAAGAGGAAGTTTGGCCAGCAGGGAAGGAGAGCCGGTCTGGGCTCCACTCACCTGCACGGGTGTGGCCGTGGGGGCCCACTTCTCCATGATGTACCGGAACAGCATGAAGACCTTGTCGGACAGTCGGTTGGCGTCCAGTCTGGGGTAGGGGAAATCTCTCCAGTGGTTCACATACTTGTAAATGGCCTTGCTGAACTTCTCAAGGGCTGCGTTTTAAAAACAACCACAGACTGAGAAAAATATAAAGGTGGGAAGGACCATAAAATGATTTGAGATGAGAGTATGGATGATTAGAAAGTATATTGTTATAGTTTCTATAAAATCTTATGACTATACCAAATAAACATATGAAAAGTGTTCAGCCACATTAGCGAAATGCAAGTTAAAACCATAACGAGGTCCTATTACTTACCATGCAGGGTGGCTGAAACCTAAGACAATGTCCAGTGTTGACCAGACGAAGGTGCAGCTGGTATTTTTACATATTGCTGGTGATACAAACACTTTGAAAAACTGTTTGACACTCTCTGCTAAGGTTGAATATGTGATCCGTGACCCAGAAATGCCACTCCTAGGCTTATGATCATTAGACATGCATAAATAATAAGGCACTAGAAACTTGTACAAGAATGTTCATATTAGGATTTGGGGGGGGGGGGCGGTCATAGCCGCAGACAGAAAACAGTCCAAATATCTGCCAACAGATAGAATGGAAAACCAAATTGTAGTGTAGACATGTAATACTATACAGAAATAAAAACAGACTACAGCTACAGGGAACCACATGTATGACTCTCACAAGTAGGCAGAAGTAACCTAGGTGTTAGAAGTCAAGATCGTGAGAGAAAGGCGAGGTGATGATCGGGAGAAAAGATGAAGGGGGACTTCTGGGGTGTTAGTAATGTCCCACTTTTTGACCTGAGTGATGGTCAAATGGATACGTCCACTTTGTTACAGCTCATTGACCTGTACACTTCTCATTTGTATGCCTTTCTGTGTCTGTTTTACTATAATAAAATTTGAAAAGGCCTTGGGGCCCTCAAAAATGTCATTTGAATCACTAACCCATACGCAGTTGCATCAAATACACTAAATACTATTATTTTTCCCTTCAGCCTTCATTCTACCCTTTATTGATTATAAGTAAAATTTATAGTTTACTCTCTCAGGAATATTTCTTATGCAAAGAAAAACTCTAGAAAAGATGTCAAATATCTTAGCTCTAGAGCTGGCCATTTATTAGATCATTCATATTTCCCTCAAACTCTTTCTGATAATCTCCTGCTATGCTTTATCGTGATCTTTTGTGCATATGTGTGTTTGGGCTTGTGTGTGTCTCACATTGGTCTAATAGTAACACGAGAGAAGGCACTATGCCTTCTCTGCTGATGGTATTCAGAGCAACAGTTATGGGGTCTGACAGCTTGAATGAATAGATGATGGGCAGATGGATGGCTATTGAATTCCATACCTTTTCATAGTGGCAGTCAGGCAGAAGTTGCTTGAGGACCAGAGGCCATTAGATCACTTTATAACACAAAGATAGAGAATTCCCTTTTTTCATTGCCATTATGATTTCTGATTTTAGTTTCTTTTACTTTCTTGGTTGCTAATTTTGCAAGTAGAAACGTTATCAGAGGCACCAAAGTTTATTTGCGGAACACAGTATTAGCTGTCATAGTAAGTAAGGACAGCAAAAAAGTATTGAAAAGTGTGTGAATCCACTCCAGTTGCCTACGTAGATGTTACAGCTCAAATCTTGGCTCTGCCACACACTAGCTGCGGGACCTCAGGCAAGCTGTTTACCTTTTCTCAGCCTTAATTTTCTCATCTTCTAAGTGGAGGAAAATGTCACCTACTTAATGGGATTACGGTGAGGATTAAATGAGATAACCCAAGGCAGTTCCAGGCACACAGCTGATTCTCAGTTTATGCCAGATGTGAATATTGCCTTTGTTGTGGACAGAACAAGAAGAAAAGGGCAAAATAGAATAGAAAAGCTTTGGTTGATAGGTCAAGAAGACATTCCTGACAGCATGAGCTTTCAAAGAATACGAAATAACAACATCGGGGATGTTGAGGGTGGAAGGGATCTTACCCCTCACTTCATTTGATGTTCTTAGAGGTGAAACAGACTGAGTGAGGGGTGGAGGCACCCAGTGGCTCAGTGGGAGATCAGAGACAAGACTCTAGGTCCCCAGGATCATCTAGAAAGCCTCTCACTGTGCTATAAACACTTTTCCCTAGGGATTCCGGGGCATGCTGTTCTCTGTGGACCCTTAATTACTGCAGGTGTATTTTAGTCTAAAGTATTATCACCATCATTTGTTTACCCATTTTCCTTGATTTTGTAATTGCTTGTATTTGATCAGATTGTTTACTTATCATTATGATGATATTGCAACATAAAGAAATGCTGACATTTAGCCTACAGGTAAGAGCAGGGAAGCCCTCACATCCTTGCAGAGAAACTGGCCCGGTTGAGGCGGCGGCTAGTGGAAATGGAGACCATGCAGTGCAGTGGAGAGAGTACAGACTGGGTGGCTATGTAGACCTGGGTCGAATGCCACCTCCACATCTCATTGACAGTGTCGCCACCTTGGGAAAATGGCTTAACGTCCACGACCCTCAGATTCTTGTCTGTAAAATGGCCTAATAAGCACTTCCTTTGCAGAACTGTGGTGAGGACTGAGCAAGATAATTCCCTGCAGATGGCTTTCCATATGGTCGGCACTCAATAAGTGGTCGCTATTGGAAAGGTCATGACTAGGGTAAAAGGAAAAGGAGATATTTGCTCGATTCGTAGTCTGGTCTTAAAGCAGAAAGTGCAGGGTACCCACCGACACAGAAAGCTCCCCTGATGCTCTCCTCCTCCGCCAGCCTGAGCATGGTCTGCATGGTGAGCAGGGTCATCATCATGAAGGGGATGCTCTGGGAGGCTGCGGTGGGGGCAGAGGGGAAAGGCGTTATCTCCCCACACTGGGACAGTCCACGACTCCTCCCCACGTCAACAGCAAGCATTTCTAGGCTGCGGGGGCAGGCTGAGGCTGTAGGAGGATGTTCTCTATCCCGCCCCCACCATCATGCCAGTTAGAGAATCAAGGAATGATTGGCTCAACATGAGGCACTAGCTATACGACCACCTGTACCTATGTTTAGTAGCAATTACTTATTGGGATAATGAGTTCATTAACGTTCATCCCTTCCATCAGAACTTGCTTATATCGCTTATATCCCCAGGGCCTAGCACAGGTGATCGGTGCTCAATACACATCTGTTAGAAAAAATCTTAAGAAACCCTTACTGGGTGGAAGTGTTCAATGGTCTGCGGACTATGCCCTGTGGACACTGTGCTTCCCCAAGCACAAAGCTGGAGGAAAGGGAAAGTGATAACCCAGCCCCTGCACAGCTACCCTAACCCCTCTATCAGTATTCTTTAGCTCAGCACAAGCTACAGATGCCCTCCCTTCTGCTGTTTGGTGCCCACGGGGATTTTCAACAATTAGCCCGGGGGTTGCTTCCCGGAGGGGACCCCCCACACCATAGCTGGTTGCCAGCTCCGCCAGGGCAAGCACAATGAATTCTTTTGGGAGCTCCAGGATCCGGAAGTTACTCTGTACTTCAAACATCACAGAGTTGAAATCATGTGCAGCAAGGGACACCAAGACCTCGCCAGCTAGCATTCTGATTTCTCGGAGGACCTGAGGGAGAGAAGGGAGACTGCGATGAGACGTGGAGGAAGAGCAGAGGGGTCTGCAGACGGGAAGCAGACCACATAACATCTGAAGTCCTGGTTTCGGGGACAGAGGGAGAACAGGCTGTTTACACATCTGGGGCGGGAGCCTCTGGGTCGCAGTCAGTAGCCAGGAAAGCAGAGGTAAGTTCAGTTCACTTTAAAACTAGGTCTTAATCGGAATCTTGTCAAGGTGCGGTCAATACGTGTTTACTCTCCTGTGATATGGATCAGCCGCCACAAACATAGGGTTGATGTTTATGTCTGCGTGATGTGAATTGCTGTGGGTGAATTGCTGTGATGGAAAGGCCACGAGGGGAGGAAACCAGGGCTACGAGTCTACAGCTTTGGGTTTCACTGTCCTGATCTAATAATAGCTTTGATATTGGAGATATTTGGAGGAACTTCTACTTTTGGTGGTGGTGAACTAGGTAATTTTTTTCCTTTTTATTGAATTCATCGGGATGACACTGGTTAACAAAAGTATACAGGTTTCAGGTGCACAATTCCACAACACATCATCTGTACACTGTACTGTGTGCTCACCACCCGAGTCAAGTCTTCATCACTGTTTATCTCCTCTATATGAACTAGGTAAATTTGATCAACTCTACTACTGGGAAGTTACCTAAAAAACACCAAGCTCAGAAATTAATCACAGGTTGTTAGTGCCCTTGGCAGGTCAATAGGGAACAATCCTTTCTGGAAGAAAACACCATTATCGTAGGACTCAAAATGATTTCTGCTAATAATTTTTCAGATACAATAACTGTACATAGATAAGTAGGTACATAAAGGTAACAAAAATTTATACGGGAGCTGATAAACTGGGTTCTAGTCATTTGTTCTGTCAATATATAGCTTGTTACTTTGAATAAATAATCCCTAAACAACAACTACCTCATACAAAAGCAGGTTGGATAATATTAGCTCTAAAGTCTTTCTCAGCTTTGCCTCAGTTTCCCCATGTGTGAAAGGGTAAATAATGGACACTTTTGCTATAAACAAGTTACCACGAAGAACAAGGAAAAGTGGCCTGTGGTCCTCGCAGGGATGTACAGAAAGCTTATGGATGTGTCTACACGGGTGCAGTTGGGTCACTTAGAGATCTGTTGCTGATTCAGCGTCAACAATCAAACTTACATTGTCATCTCTCATGTCCTTAGAAGCATAATAAATCAACCTCTGGACAATGGCATCATCCAAGATGTCAGCATTCTGAATAACGGAAGTGAGATGACTATAAATTTCTTCCTGTGAACATACAAGGGATACACCGGAGTTCGAGTTGCAAAACAAAAGGAATGACACGAAGCGCAAATGAATAACACCATTAAACTAAACAATGTATTTCTACTACACACTAGATTTTATGTATCTTAATTGGGGCTTTGAACATAATGAGCATCTTCCAGAGTCAAAGGCTTTTTGGTAGAGCAAAGTTCATTCTAAAAGCTATTTTAACTTGACTACATTTCTATGGCAAAATCTAACCGAAGGCAGGGGTGCGCTACCTGACAACCAAAGTCTCTTGGAAATCACTTGGAGGACACTCAGGGGGATGGAAATGCCCATCGACCTAATTGTTGCTCTTACTACCTGGAGTGACTCCCAAAAGGTTGCTAGGCTATGAAACGTGTTCTTAAGGGTGATTCATAGGCCCTTGCTTCATTCAGGCCTTTGTGGGGAGGAAGTTGTGGTTTTGGGGGAAGAGGTAGGGCTACAGACTCTGGGAATTTCATGGCTTGAGCAGATGCAGTGTGCGAAGGCTCGTCTAACCCTCTTAGGTGGCTCCATGGCTTCCGGAACATGAGAAACCGGTGTTCTGAAACCTCCAACAGTTTCAGGCATGTGACCTCAAGGCACTGTGCCAATTTGAAGTGTGGGACAGCTCTCTCTGCATGCTGGCTCGAACATGCAGCCAGCGCTGGGGACCACCGGAGCAAGGGGTGAAGGACGAGGCGTCACCTCTCACGGGGGAGCCTGCTCGGAAGAACCATCCCTAAGCGCGGACTTTGGAGTCCGGCAGGCTCGTGTGCAATGTAGTCCTGTTGGTCTTGGGCGAGCCATGCGACTTCTCTGTGCCTCCCTCTTCCTACTTGCCGAGTGGAGGTCACAACACCTCCCTCATGAAGTTGTGAGGAGGGAATATGATATGATGCAGTGTTGTTTGGAAAGCAAACCGTAAGTGTTCAAGGAAGGTAGCTATTGATACTTCACAACAGGTTAATGGAGCCAGAATAGCCTTCAAATCCCCGAGGAAAGAACCCCTCATTGAGAATTAGCATTCCGGACGACTAGGGGAGGTCTTTGGGGATTGTCAGAGGAGCCCTCCAATTATACAGGGTTGTGAGTCCGCACACCTCCCTCTTTCCATGTCTTCCTGCAAAAGGTGATGGAAAGGGGCATTCATAGACTTACTTCTAGAACTGGATGCTTAGACATTGTCATGACTTTCATTACAAGTCTATTTTTTGAAATATTGATTACCACATAAGAAGCCTGAGAGAAAAGAGGAGGTCGAGGCAAAGAAAGGTATATGAAATGTCACAATAACTGGACTAGTCAATGGGAAAGAGATTTTTCTCTCTTTTCCTTACCTTATTGATATTATCTTCCTTGTTCAGCATGCCCAGAGTGAGGTTAATATCTCCAAAAGTCTCTAAAATGCATGGGAAAAGAATGACATATGTGCTAAAACGCCCTCCTGTTAATTATAAGCAATAGTCCCAGGAAGATTTCTCTCTCTCTCTCTCTCTCTCCCCCCCCCCCTTCCTTGGTCTTTCTCTCCCCTTGCCTCGCCCCCTCCCCACCTCTTCTTAACTGGCAGCTCTTGGCAGGAGCTGTTTTATTCATATTTCCCGTACTTGACATACCCAAACTAGCTGATGCTAAGTATTTTTTTTTTTCCAATCAAATTAAATGCGGAGGGAAAGATAAAGGATGCTAGATTCCCACGTGTCCCTCCAGCATCTCCTTACCCCTCCGGCAGGCCTGGCTCTCAGATGCCAGGAGCGGCAGCCTGCACCCGACGGGAGCACAGGAAGGTGAGGGCACAGCTCCCCTGGCTCAGCACATCTCCTCCTCCCTCTTCAACACCCTCTGCCCCCGGGGCCCTGCCAGGCTCCCTTCTGGTCCCATGCTCACGGAACCTCACTCTTCTGATAGTAATTAAATTTGTTTTGACGTGCCCTCCCCAGAAATATTTGTATTTGCTGAAAGCTCTCTGGAAAACTGAAAAAATATTTGAGTCACAGAAATCAAGCAATTTCAAGCCACACGGCAAGTTGGTAGAAGAGAGACTGGACAGAGTGAGTGTCCACAAGCCTTCAAGTAAAACGACACATTCCTCAGTGGTCTTTTCTGTCAAAGCAGAAAGGCAACATGCTTGAAAAGTGGGGAAGATATTTCCAAAGGATTCTCCAGTATTTAAGATTAAACAGTGTGTTGCCGGGCTGGTGTGGCTCAGTGGTTGAGCATCGACCCTGCACCAAGAGGTCGCTGATTCCACTCCCAGTCACGACACATGTCCAGGTTGTGGGCCCGATCCCCAGTGGGGGAAATGCAGGAGGTGGCCAGTCAATGTTCTCTCTCACCGATGTTTCTATCTCTCTCTCCCTCTCCCTTCCTCTCTCTCTAAAATCAATAAAGAAAAATAAAATTTTAAGATTAAACAGTGTGGACCAAAAAGGGGGGAAAGGGGAAGGTTTCAAAGAAAGTAACCTCACAGGGTCTGAGCATACAATTTTATTTTATTTTTTTTTTATCCTCACCCGAGGATATTTTTCCATTTTTTGTACAGATAGAGTGGGAGGGAGAGAGAGGAAGGGAGAGAGAGAGAGAAACATCGACGTGAAGGGACACATCGAGTGGTTGCCACCCGCACGACCAACCAGGGCCGGGGACAAACTGCAACCGAAGTACGTGCCCTTAGCGGGAACCGAACCCGGGTCTCTCCGGACCGCAGGCCGACGCTTTAACCGCTGAGCCAAACCGGCCAGGGCTGAGCATACAATTTTAAATAGGCAGGACACGGTGTGTCGTCACACCTCAAGCCTATAACTTTTTAGTAAAGTTTTTTGTTTTTTTTTAAATCTTTGCTTTACAGGACCTATGCAAGCCCTGTTTATGGTTTTTGTGCATCTAGGTTAACACATCTTTGAAATAAGACTTAACCACCCTCAAGAGAGCACATGATCTTAATTATCATAAAATCTGACCCCTTCCCTGCTCCCTCCCACCTTCACGTACTGTTCCTCATGCCCCCTCCTTAATTTCAAAAGCATAAAAGAAGCTGCAAAAACGGTTATTCTCCGGAGCATTTGAGACCTTGCTCCCCGGCCGATGTCGTCAGTTTGGCTCAAAAAAACACGTATAAATGGGTGTACAGGTTTGGATGTTTCTTACATGGACAAAAATAAAAGGTCTTTCTCTATATGATAGCCACTTTCTCCTCGGGTAGACTCCATTTTTAAGAAGATAAGGCACCATCACCTCTCAGTCTCCTGCTCTACCACTGATCGTTGGTAATCAACGTTGGAATTAAGGGACAGTAGAGAGAAACAATCCTATTTTAGCACAGCTTTTCATAAAAACTTTAAGGTATACAGACGTCCCACAATGACACATACCACCCCCAACCCCACGTATGCATATGGTCACACAGACACAAAACACCCCACTCCTCGGGAGACCGTGACGCTTACCTACAGGCTCCTCCATGACCTGAGTGGTCGTAGCTCCGCTATTTCAGGCTAAGAGACGGCACCTAAGGATCAGAACAGTAAGGCTAAACAGTCGAGGGCACGGGTCGGCAGGCTTCTCCTACGAGGTTCACATAAGGTTCTCTAAATGAAAGTCCCTCCTTCACGTGATTGGCACAGTGATCTGGAAGCTTCCAGCGATGGGCTGCTGCTGAGGAGGAGGGCGCTGTGTTCTACCACTATGACATTTTCTTGCTTCTGAGCCCCTGCTGACCAACAAAATGGCTGCATCTCCCTGAGTGGTGTCCCTTTGGTGGAGACCAGGGCCTCTGAGAAGGAAGGAGTTAGAGACTGGAACTCAATCCATTTTTGTAGACTAGAGGAACTCTTCTCCCTAAACTTGGGTCCATTGATCACAAATTGGGGAATGATTTTCAGTGGTCACTTTATAGGCTTGGTGTTAGTAAAGCCTTTATGGTGATCTTGGTGATTGTTCTGCTTGGTGAAAGTCAGTCACACAAACTGAGCATGCTCAGTGGACCGGAACCCCGCCAGGGGCAGTTGGATGGAATGTCCAACTGACAGCAGAAAGCAAAGCCTTCTCGGCCTCCCTCCCCACTTGCCCCACCCCTCCCCCATCGTGGTCGGGGCTTCACGCCAGGTTCAGGCTTCTTCTCCTGACTCCATTCTCTCTTCTGGTTTTCAAATCATCTTTTTACCCAGACCTCCTGGCTATAATGATGTCAACTTTACTAGTATGGGCCCAACTCGAGTCCCCATGCCCCCTGACCCTCAATCTATGTGGCCACAATTTCCAAGGTGTGTCCAGATGGTCTGATAATGTGGCAGATGTTAGGGGGAGTGGGGAGGGGGTCCCAGTTATCTACAGGGGGATGGGAAAGGGGCCGAGGGGAGAGGCTCAGCACCGTTCTCACTGCTGCTGCTTCTCTGCTGACTTCTGCTCCTTAGTGAGGTCTATTTCAGATGCAAAGGTAAAATGCTTCCATGTCAATCTTTGAGTTTGTCATTCTTTTCATGGACGGATGTTTTGCACACTATGTATTGTAGGGGTTCTCAGCAGGCTGGTGTTTGAGAATATTTTCAGCTCCCAAGTCAACATCACTCTTTTCTGATGTGCCCACAAGCACCTAGCAGCAGGAATCACCAGGTGCCCTTATTTAAAATGTCCCTTTGCAGGCGCAGCCCAGACCTGGTTAATTAGAACGAGAGGCAGAAATCCAGATTTGTAACAAGTACTCCTGGCGATTCTTCGGTTTGCTCAAGTCTGAGAAGCACCTTACTTGAAGGGTGTTCATTGGGCTGGGCAAGAACACAGCTGCTCCTCTCAAACACCATGACTCGCTCACCCTGGGAGAAGACTGGGTGAGTCCGAGAGGTATCGATTGCACGAGAGACAACCTAAAACTCCTGTCTTATAGGGAAATAAAAGCATTGAAAATTATATGCACTTAGAATCTTTCTTTTTTTCTTTATTAATTTTTAGAGAGGAAGGGAGAGGGAGAGAGAGAGAAACATTAACGAGAGAGAACATCGATTGGCCGCCTCCTGCATGCCCCCCATTGGGGATCGGGCCCACAATCTGGGCATGTGTCCTGACTGGGAATCAAACTGGCGACCTCTTGGTGCCTGGGTTGACACTCAACCACTGAGCCACACTGGCTGGGCTGCACTTAGAATCTTAAAGAACAACACGCAATAGAATCAGTAGAAAGAAAGCTAGTCATTTCTGTATCGTTATAGTCAATTTCTTACTCTTTTTGTAAGTGATGGCAAATAATCTTTGTGAATGTCTGTATGTAAAGAATTTCTTGATTGCATAGAGATTAGAAAAGTTAGGAGACGATTGATTTTTTTTCTATTTATTTGCCACGAGTTAGTTGCTTTGCTGTTTTCAGTGCAAATGTATGATGTAGCTATGTTACTATGACAAATATATATTCAAAGTACTTGTGTTCCCAGAGCAGGGTTTATGTATGAGATAAAAGGAAAAGGAAAAGTCAACATGGAACTTTGAGTTCAGAAACTTGAATTGAATCTAAGTCTGCTTCAAAGTAGTTGTATTACTCTGGAAAAATCGACCCCTCCGGACTAAGTTTGCATTCTCAGTCGTAAAACCCGGGAGTTCAGATTAGTTGACCTAAGGATTATTCTTTCCTGCAAAAAGAAACTTTACTTTCATGTTCTCAATAATGCCCAAATCATTTGTAATGCTGTTTTTCATTCCTAAACAGCGAACTTATAAATTATTTTTTTTGGTATGGACTGTTTGTGGATAGTACGTCTCCTATACTTTTGCCCATATAGACCCAGGATGGAGACTTCCTGGCACTGGAGCAGCAGCTGGTGATGGAAGGAGAAGAGGTCAGAGAAGTGTCTTGGGATTGAGTGTAAGGCAACCAGCACTGTGGAGGGCAAAGTAAGACACAAATACACCAACAAGTATCATATAACAACGACACCTCATGAATGTTTCTTTTATTTATTTATTTTTTTAAATTTTATTTTTGTTACAGATGTTTCTCCTTTTTTACCCCATTGACACCCTCCTCCCCATCCCCCCCACCCCATCCCCAGCTTGGTTGTACATGTCCATTGGTTATGCATACATGCATATACATTCTGTGGTTTATCTCTTCCCTCCCCCCACCACCCCCTCTTCTGAGGGTAGTCAGTCTGTACCCTACTTCCATGTTTCTGAGTCTACCCTATTCCTCAGGCTGTTATGTTCATTATATTCCATAAATAAGTGAGATCATGTGATATTTGTCTTTCTCTGCTTGGCTTGTTTCACTTAGGATAATACTTTCCAGGTCTCTCCATGTTGTCCCAAAGGATAAGAGATCTTTCTTTCTTATAGCTGCATAGTACTCCACTGTGTATATGTACCACTGCTTTTTTATCCATTCATCTACTGATGGACACTTGGGCTGTTTCCAGATCTTAGCTATTGTAAATAGTGCTGCTATGAACATGGGGGTACATATATTCTTTCTGATTGGTGTTCCAGGCTTCTTAGGGTATATTCCTAGGAGTGGGATCACTGGATCAAATAGAAGTTCAATTTTTAACTTTTTGAGGTAACACCATATTGTTTTCCATAGTGGCTGCACCAGTCTGCATTCCCACCAGCAGTGTACTAGATTCCCCTTTTCCCACACCCTCGCCAACACTTGTTGTTTGATGATTTGTTGATGGTGGCCATTCTGACAGGTGTGAGGTGATACCTCATTGTTGTTTTAATTTGCATCTTTCTGATGATTAGTGAAGTTGAGCATTTCTTCATATGTCTTTTAGCCATTTGTATGTCCTGTTTGAAGAGGTGTCTATTTAGATCCTCTGCCCATTTTTAATTGGATTCTTTGTCTTCCTTTTGTTGAGTTGTATGAGTACTCTATGTATTTTGGAAATTAACCCCTTATTTGATGTATCATTGACAATGATGTTCTCCCATACAGTGGGTTGCCTTTCCATTTTGATGGTTGTTTCTTTTGCTGTGCAGAAGCTTTTGAGTTTGATGTAGTTCCATGTGTTCATTTATTCCTTTGTTTCTATTGCCTTCGGTGATGTATTCTGCTGCGTATGATGGCCGAAATTTTGTTGCTTACATTTTCTTCTAGAATTTTTATGGATTCACAAGTCACATTTAAGTCTTTTATCCATTTTGAGTTTATTTTTGTGTATGGTGTAAGTTGATGTTCTAGTTTCATGTTTTTGCATGTAGCTGTCCAATTTTCCCAACACCATTTATTAAAGAGGCTGCCTTTACTCCACTGTATGCTCTTGCCACCTTTGTCAAATGTTAATTGAGCATATTGCCTTGGGTCCATTTTTGGGTTCTCTGTTCTGTTCCATTGGTCTATATGCCTGTTCTTGTGCCAGTACCAGGCTGTTTTGATTACAGTAGCTTTGTACTATAACCTGATATTTGGTATTGTGATTCCCACCTACTTTGTTCTTCTTTTTCAAGATTGCTGTGGCTATTTGGGGTCTTTTTTGGTTCCATATGAACTTTTGAAGTATTTGTTCTAGTTCTGTGAAATATGTCGTTGGTATTTTGATGGGGATTGCATTGAATCTATAGACTGCTTTGGGTAATATGGACATTTTAATGATGTTAATTCTTCCAATCCATGAACAAGGTATGTGCTTCCACTTTTTTTATATCTTCCTCTATTTCTGTTTTCAATGTCCTGTAGTTTTCTGCAAATAGGTCCTTTACTTCTTTGGTTAAGTTTATTCCTAGGTATCTTAATTTTTTTGCCATGATGGTAAATGGGATTTTTTTTTTTTTAGTTTTTCTTTCTGTGAGTTCATCATTGGTGTATAAGAATGCCGTCGATTTCTTGATATTAATTTTGTATCCTGCCACTTTGCCAAATTCATTTATTAAGTCTAGTAGATTTTTGATGGAGTCTTTAGTGTTTTCTATGTATAATATCATGTCATCTGCAAATAATGACAGTTTCACTTCCTCCTTTCCAATTTGGATTCCTTTTATTTTTTCTTTCTGTCTGATTGCTGTGGCTAAGACTTCCGGTACTATGTTAAATAAGAGTGGTGAAAGTGGGCATCTCTGTCTTGTTCCTGTTCGTAAGGGAAATGTTTTTAGTTTCTGCCCATTGAGTATGATGTTGGCTGTAGGTCTTTCATATATGGCCTTTCTTATGTCAATATATGATCCCTCTATTCCCACATTGCTGATTGTTTTTATCAGAAATGGATGCTGGATTTTTTCGAATGCTTTTTTAGCATTTATTAATATGATCATGTGGTTTTTATTCTTCATTTTGTTTATGTGGTGTATCACATTTATTGATTTGCAAATACTGTATCAGCCTTGCATCCCTGGAATGAATCCCACTTGGTCATGGTGAATAATTTTTTGATGTAGTGCTGGATCTGTTCAGGATTTTGGCATCTATGTTCATCAGGAATATTGGCCTGTAGTTTTCTTTCTTTGTAGTGTCTTTTTCTGGTTTTGGAATTAGAATTATGCTGGCCTCATAAAACGAGTGTGGCAGTCTTTCTTCTTCTTGAATTTTTGGAAATAGTTTGAGGAGAATGGGTGTTAGTTCTTTTATGAATGTTCGGAAAAACTCCCAAGTGAAGCCATCCAGGTCTGGGCTTTTGTTTGCTGGGAGAGTCTTGATTACCTCTTCAATTTCCTTAGTTGTGTGTTCAAGTTTTCTATCTCTTCCCAGTCCAGTTTTGGGAGACTGTGTGTTTCTAGAAATTTGTCCATTTCACTTAGATTGTCGAATTTGTTGCCATATAATTGTTCATAGTAGCAGTTAACAATCTTTTGTATTTCTGTGGTGTCAGTTGTTACTTCGCCTCTTTCATTTCTGATTTTTTTTTTTTTTTTTTGGGTTCTCTCTCTTTGTTTCTTGGTGAGTCTAGGTAAGGGTCCATCAATCTTGTTTATCTTTTTGAAAAACCAGCTCTTTGTTTCATTGATCCTTTGGATTATTTTTTTGGTCTCTATGTCATTTATTTCTGCTCTGATCTTTATTAATTCCTTCCTTCTACTTGCTCTGGGGTTTTATTTTTGTTTGCTTTCTAATTCAAGTTGTGAGGTTAGACAGTCAATTAGAATTTTTTCTTTTTTTTTTTTTTATCCTCACCTGAGGACATTTTTCTATTTTTTTGTTCAGGTAGAGTGGGAGGGGGAGAGAGGAAGAGAGAGAGAAACATCGATGTGAAAGGGACACATCGAGTGGCTGCCACCCGCACGACCAACCAGGGCCGGGGACAAACTGCAACCGAGGTACACGCCCTTAGCGGGAACCGAACCCAGGTCTCTAGGGACCGCAGGCCGACGCTCTAACCGCTGAGCCAAACCGGCCAGGGCTTTTTCTTGTTTTTTGAGGTAGGCCTGTAGTGCTATGAACTTCCCTCTCACAACTGCTTTTTCTGCATCCCATAGATTTTGTGTTATTGTGTGTTCATTTTCATTGGTTTCCAGGAAGTTTTTAATTTCTTCTTTGATCTCCTCGGTAACCCATTCATTGTTTAATAATATGCTATTTAGCCTCCATGTGTTGAAATGTCTTTGCATGTTTTTGTTGCAATTGATTTCTAGTTTCATGCCATTGTGATCTGAGAAGATGCTTGATATGATTTCAATCTTCTTGAACTTGTAGAGATTTAGTTTGTGTCCTATCATGTGGTCTATCTTTGAGAATGACCCATGTGCACTTGAGAAAAATGTGAATTCTGTAGTTTTGGGGTGTAATTTTCTGTAGATATCTATTAAATCCATTTGATCTAGTGATTCATTTAGAGTTTCTGTTTCCTTGCTAATTTTTTGTCTAGAGGATCTATCCAGTGGTGTC